TTTTGGAAGCTTTACTCGTCACTTTTGGTGAAAGTCTCGTGGAAAATGTTCTTTTTGGAAGCTTTGCTTGTCACTTTTGGTGAAAGTCTCGTGCAAAATGCTCGTTTTGCAAGCTTGGATTGTCACTTTTGCTGAAAGTCTCGTGGAAAATGTTCGTTTTGGAAGCTTGGATTGCTACTTTTGGTGATAGTCTCGTGGAAAATGCTCGTTTTGGAAGCTTTGCTTGTCACTTTTGGTGATAGTCTCGTGGAAAATGCTCGTTTTGGAAGCTTGGATTGTCACTTTTGGTGAAAGTCTCGTGCGTAATGTTGGTTTTGCAAGCTTATGTCCAGCAAGAGTGTCTAGCAGAGTGTCCTGGAAGAGTGTCCAGCAAGAGTGCCTAGCAAAGAGTGCCCAGCAAGAGTGTCAAGCAAGAGTGTCTAGCAGAGTGTCAAGCAAAGAGTGTCAAGAAAGCAAAGAGTGTCAAGAAAGAGTGTCACGCAAGAGTGTCCTGTCAAGAGTGTCCAGCAAGAGTGTCTAGCAGAGTGTCAAGCAAAGAGTGTCAAGAAAGCAAAGAGTGTCAAGATAGAGTGTCACGCAAGAGTGTCAAGAAAGAGTGTCTAGCAAAGAGTGTCAAGAAAGAGTGTCAAGCAAGAGTGTCTAGCAAGAATGTCTAGCAAAGAGTGTCCAGCAAGAGTGCCCAGCAAATGTGTCAAGCAAGAGTGTCTAGCAAAGAGTGCCCAGCAAACGTGTCAAGCAAGAGTGTCTAGCAAAGAGGGTCAAGATAGAGTGCCTAGCAAAGAGTGTCAAGAAAGATTGTCTAGCAAAGAGTGTCAAGAGAGAGTGTCAGGCAAGAGTGTCCAGCAAGAGTGTCTAGCAGAGTGTCAAGCAAGAGTGTCCAGCAAGAATGTCAAGCAAGAGTGTCAAGCAAGAGTGTCAAGAGAAAGTGTCAAGAAAGATTATCTAGCAAGAGTGTCGTGTCAAGAGTGTCCAGCAAGAGTGTGAAGCAGCAAGAGTGTCCAAACAAGAACGCTTTGAGTGCTACGCTTCTATACAAAGTGACTGCATTCGGGGTCGTGGGTTCTATCAGGTTATTTTCACTATTTTCAACATTCACAGAGTTAGCCTGGGTCCGGCGACCATAAGTCTAGCTGGGCACCTGGCTTCGGTCGTTTCTACCGCCCAAGGCATGGGTTTGGTTTCGCTGGTTTGTTTGATCGTAAGAGGTTTTCAGAGATTGATCGACCTGTTAGGGGCAACAATAGTGCCATGTGGTCGGATTCGTTCATGGATCCATCCCCTGATCGATGGGTTGAACCGATGTTCGATAAAGAAGGTTTCCAAGATCCGTGGCCGCTTGTCATCATGGCAGAGCATGGAAGAGCTGGCCAGAACAGATTATATAAACAACAAATTTTTTATCGTTTTTCCGTAACGATCCAAGGTTGTGTTTTTTGGTATATAACGGTCACCAATGAAGTAAAAGTAACGCACATTACAACCAGCTGAGAGTTGCTAAAACCTAAGCCTTTCCACCGTTGCCAGGAGAGGTGTCTGGGCAAACAGTCCGTGGTTTCCTTGGGCGTTTGACAGCTCGAGAGGGGCAATATTTTCCGTGAAGAGTTGTGCTGCTCCACGGGGGGTGAGTTTCATGTCTCGTGAGCCCGTGCTTTGTTCTACACAAAACTTATCTCGAGACGCAGCTCAGAAATCGCCGTGTGTTTTTTGTTTTTGAGACATGTTGAGACCTACTGAACGAGACCGATTTTGGGGCACTGAAGCGCGGCAGTCGGACTGTGCAAGCCGGGTTTTGACGGCGTTCTTTTCACCTCACCTCTCACGGCCGCGGCCCATGCCGGCGTGTCGCTTTCTCCGGAGCCCCCGCGCAGCCCCTGACGTTGCCAAGGCATCGCTCCAAGAGCGAAGCGCTTAAGGCTTAATTCCTCAGAGCCACTGGTCAGACACCGTGGCAGAGCAGGTCCGTGGTCAAGACATGTTTAAAGTTTCGCTGAAATTAGGGGAAGTGTTTGAATCAAGGAGCATTTCATCCAGACTTTGAGCTAGGGAATTGAAAAATTAACTGAACATAGACCAAGTTTGTTTGATTGGGTACCCTGACATCTCCTGCCCCTGACAATGGGCATGCTGCAAACCCGGTTCGGACCGGTGACTGCCTGTCTTGCCTATATAGGTGCCCCAAAAAACGTCGGACCTCTACGGGGGTCGAACACGGAGGGACCAAGCTATTACGTAAGCAAGGTGTTTGTTAGCCCAGAAATCCGATGGGACTGGAATATGTTCATATATGATATTATATGTTCATAGCATAGCATTGATCATTGATGCACCTGTTTTGCATCTTTTTCTATGCACCATGAACGGGCTATAGATTGTGTGATATTTATTTTTGTATGGTAGATACGTTTACCGTTTACCCCATTGATAACCTGGTGCCATGTTTTCGCAACTCTTTCCATTCCTTTTCGCACGACCCGTGCAGAGTCGATTCGCATTTTGATGGCGGCACTGCTGCTATCTGGTGGGTCAGGTGACGTCAAACATGCTTCAGGCCTGACGTTTTACTGGAAGGTCTTTTTTTCACCAAAGGCTGCATCATGAAATCTAAAAAAGAACAGAACGGCCACCATTGGCCACCCAATTCGGCTGACCAATTCGGCCCACCGCGGATCTTTCGACGTGCATGCTTCGTGACACCGTGGCTCTTCGTTGAACATCTGGAGCCGGGAGGCGTGATTTGGGCCGTCCGGCGACCAGCTGGGCGTGCGGGTTGGGCCTTTGTTGGGCCATTTGGGCTCAGAAAAATGTCCAAGAGATCCAGGTTGCTTGGAATGATCATAAATATGACAGTAGTTTACGTTCAAGTGTCCACCCAGTCTTGAGAATGCTACTCCCGGCTGTTCGAGGTCATGTCTCCAACTGACTGAATATATATGCATTATATATATGTATATATGTTTATATCACATATGTTTTTAACGAGGACATTTCTCAGTGACCTCCGGAGCGTCACCGGGGAGAAAGCGAAGCGTCACGGCCTCGTCTCGGGCTCTCGGTCTCGATGGTCTCGGCGTCTTGAAGCGGTCCATCGCCCAAGAGCGCTTTCCGAAGCATGGGAGGTTCAAGGGAGGTCTCCAATCGACGTATGACGTATGTATACTGTAGCTGCGTAGCTGTACGTAGAGTATAGGGTCGTGGGGGATCCTTTCATACTCAGAGGAAGCTCTAAAGGCAAAGAAGAGAAGGGTCAACAATTGGAAAGACGTATTGGAATGGCTTCTTCGGATTTGTCCAACTCGCATCACCCACCGAGTGAACACATTCTTCACTCCGGGTCTCCTAAAGGAGCCTCGGATGATGGGATGCCGCCGTTAGTCCAAGAGAAGCATTTGGCAGCCGTTGAAGTGCTCAAATGTTGCCAGGGAAAATTCCTTCCAGATTTTTGGTAAAACAAGAAGCCCACCTCTTCAATGCGTCTTCCGAAACTTGGTGGAGGGTCTGTCAGGCGATCGCCCCCAATTAGCCTTATCAAGACAACGATCGACAGAAGCTCAAGGTTTCAGTTTTTCTCGACTCTCCTCTGTCCACAGCAAGCGTCATGCAGCGTCACTTCGATGAAAGCCAAATGTTTCCGGATATTATTGTCACGTAGATACGGGCCAGGCATTGTTTACCCTCGCCATACAACACATAAGATCCATTAGGGCTGGATGTTGGGCATGTTGCTGTGTAATGCAATTGAACATATCCTACTATGAGAAGCTTGTTGAAGAAAACCTGCAAGCCTGCTCCAGAGGGATGTCACCAATGCGAGGCCTGTTTGACTCGTTGAATTGTTGTCTTGTTTTTCCAAGCGACCCAAATGGGAATTGGTGCACCTTAACCCGAGACGCAACGTGGGGCAGACCACACAGGACGCGGTCAAAACAGCACAGCGGCCGGCACCCGGGCACCGGGCCAAGGCTGCGAACACTATGAACATTTATGAACAGTTTTTGATGCGTTTGGCTGCGAAGAAGCAGATTCGCTTTCGATGCCCAGACCGCTGTTCAGTAGTGGGGCACTTTTGTGGGTGTCAGGTGTGGGAGTGAAGACGCCAGCATATTTACATCTACAGTCTACAGAAATCCACAGGGCTGTCTTGGCAAGAAATCTGTAAATGCTGATCTGTTGCCTGTTGCTGTCTATAATTAGTTATAAACTATCACACCATCCTGAGTCCCATGTCCACTGCTTAAATTATGAAATATGATCTAAGCCGATCCTCTATAATTTGGACTAATTAGTTTGGACGACTGTCGAAAGCTCTCCAGGTTTTTGGAATTGGACGACTGCCTCTTTCTTCAGGGTCTCAGTCTTCTATTTGTTGAGCTATTTTTACCTATTTGGACCTCGTCTCTGTCAGATTTCCAAGATCCCAATGGTCAACTGTTCGTCCCAGCCCTGGACTGGGAGACCGCGCGAGACCTCCCGCGGTGGGCCGGCTCCAGACCAGACGGCAAGAATCCACATAGCTTCGGGAGGAGAAACACACGAGGTTCGCAGGAAGACATGCCCACTGATCGACTATAGCTTCCAAGAACAAGTCGAAGCTGGAGGCTGGTCTTGTTGATGAAGCATTCCCGAGCTGTTAGTGAGTGGTTTGGTTTTCATTCCCACAAACCCTGACTCACTGCCGCCCAATCCCCTGCTTCATCAAGAATCTGTGAATGTGTTCGACGAATCGTTGTTCTAACAAGTTTGGGTCCCACCATGTCCCACCTGCAAAACTAGGAGTGAACATTCAACACAGCGAACAGCTTTTGGGTCAAAGAAGCTGACGCATGGACACTGACGCATGGACATGGCTTCATTTGACACCCCCGCACTGCGCGCACACGGTGCGACCTCCTCTGGCCGACCCTGACGACCGCGTGGCATGAGCGCTAGTGACTCGGTGGGACCGAGCCAAAGCCCCCGGGGATGGTGCTGGGGTGGCAGGGAATGGATGGGTCAGGACCCCCAAGAAGTCGGAATGGTCAGGATTTGGGATGGGGCAGGAACTTGTGGACTTTGGCTCAAGAAAATTGGCTCTGGGGTGTCTGCCTGTATACAGTGACATCCAGGTAAGGTAGATCCACTATGTCCCATGGCAAGGCTTACATGGTTTGTGGCTGTGGTAATTGGATTTGGGCTAACAGGGTGCCAAACAGACCCTACTGTCATTGTGGCACACCATGAATCCCCAGGCACCTTAGCCCAGGCAATGCAGCTCCATCCTGGAGCCCACCAAGAGCACACCAAGGGAGAACCAGACACACCAGCATCACAGATGAGGACTGGCAATACCAACAGTGGATCAGAGCAAACCATGCCCAACTGGAAGCAGACTGGTCAGACACCTCCTGGCAAGCACCCTCCTCCAGAAGCTCCAGAAGAACCAACAGCACACACACAGAATCAGACCCAGAGGCACTGGCCAAATGGGAATCAGCAGTCACAGGACTGGTCCAGAAGCATTGGGGCACCTTCTCACCAGAGGTCCAAGAGGCCTTCAAGGAGATGGGAGTGCAACAAATGGCAGAAGAACCAGACCTCACAGATCCCACCTATGTGGCCTACAAGTTCAAGACCACCAGTGGCCAGCTCAGAGCACTGGGCCAGAAAAAGCTCCAACTGGAGCAGAGGGAGACCAATTTGCAGAAGCAATTGGCACAAGTGGCGGCAGCAAAGGAGCAGCTCCTGGACAGGCTACAGACATGCCACCAGGACATGGAAGAAATCTCCCAGCACTATGCACAGATTGTCCTGCAACCCCAAGGACAAGGCACCAGCATGGACACACAGGAGCCACCAGAAATCCCCTCAGGCAATCCAGAGATCCAGCACCAAATGGAGACCTTCCATGCATTGGTCTCTCAGCTGGGCAGCAAAGTCACCACAGATGACAAGCAAAGGCTGCTACACACAATGGTCAGGGTCCTGGAAGATGCAGGTCAAAAGAAGAGAAAGACCAACATCCAGCCACCGCAGTACTACGAGCCAGGCAACCCAGATGCATACATGGAGCAAGGCACTTTCACAGGGTAGCAGCAGCAGCTGCCCACCCCTAGCAGATTTGCCAGCACACACAGCTCAGGCAAAGGAGCTGCATATTTACTTTGCCAACATCACCAGATGGAGTGAGAAAGCACAACAGCACATATGGGCCCTGCCAGCAGCAGTCAAGATCTGTGGCATAGCAGAGCACCATATAGCAGCACCACAATGGCAGCAATACAAGGATGGTTGGGCAAACCATCACTGGCAGCCATACATACAGGAAGCACAACCACTGGACAGTGGATGCACCTCAGGCGGAGTCTCCTTGGCCTACAGGACAGGCACAGCATCAGAGGCACTTCCTGGCAGTTTTGACCACAGATGGACAGCCACAATCTACAGAACACAGCACATGGAGGTCATAGTGGGAGTGCTATACCTCAAAGTGGGGGAAGGACAATCAAAGACTTTTGACAGCAGTGGGCAGCCTCCTCCAAACATACAACCTCCCCTTTTTCCTCATGGGAGATTGGAAATGTGAACCAGGAGAGCTGGTAGAAACCACTTGGCCAAGAAGAATCAAAGGCCACATCCTTTGCCCCCAACAAGCCACACTGGCCACAGGCAACAAACTTGACTATGCAGTCCACAGCAAAGAACTCAGAGGCTGCATCACCGCACAAGTGCAGCATGATGTCCCATGGGGACCACATTATGGCATCCTGTTCACTTGGACTACAGGGGGCAGCCAGGCACACATCCAGGTGCTGGAGGACAAGATTCCCCTCACCCAATGCCTTGGACCCAGATTGCCCTGGTCACACTTCCAGTACAGCCAGGACATTGACCACAACAAAATACCACCCACTCCTAGCAGGAGCACAAGCAGGGAGCTCACCCAAACCTTTGGGCAACTCCAAGCACAGGCCACACACTGGCTAGCATCCACCAGCCTGGTGCACAATACACCACCCAGAGGCATCAGCTTTGAACTGCGCATGGCACCACAGCAGCCAAGAGCCATCAAGGAAATGACAGTGCAAGACAAGCAGCTACAATACTGGCCTGGTTTGCACAGAATGGTCAGAGACTGTAACAGACTCTTCAAAGGACCACTCCACAGCAAACAGATTCAGCATGCAGGACTGCTGCAAAAGAGCATCAGCAGCAAGACACAACACCTACAGCCACAATGGCCACCTGACAGCCAAGGCTTCAGTTGGCTAGGGGTACAAAGAGGGCTAAACCAGATGCTCAGCAACAGACCTTTCCTCAATGACAAGCTAGAGGAATTCCTTCAGACCACCTGCCACCGGCTACAAAAGCAGGTTTGGGAAAGGAAGAAGGAAGACTTTGCCACATGGGCAGAAACTGCCATGAGAAAAGGGGCAAGGCAAGCACATGCCTTTATCAAGCAGGATGAGGCAAACTACCTCAGACCTTATCAAAACCTACCTCTAGCACAAAGACCAGCAGCCAGAAGAGCCTACTGGAAAACCTACTGGCAGGAAGAAGCTCCAGACAGACCAGCCACCCCAGCAGAGGAAGCTCTTAAGCAAGAAGCCATCCAGGAAGCCAGAACATTAAAGCCCATCAGCTCAGCACAAATCAAGGCCACCCTGCAGCACATGGGTAAGAAGAAACCAGGCCCAGATGGATGGACAGTACAAGAGCTTCAGCAATGGCCAGAGCAAGCAATCTCAAGCCTTGTCTGGGCGCACCACCAGATAGAAGCCACACGAGACTGGCCAGCACAAGCCACATACACCCAGATAGCACTATCGCCAAAGTCCCTGGACAATGAAAGGCCTATTTGCCTCACCAGCTTCTTCTACAGAGACTGCACCTGCTCAAGAAGTGGATCCACCAAGTCAAAGACAGCTGCCCATGGGACAAAGCCATGCCCCAAGGCACAGTCCTTGACATCTTCTTCCAAAGGCACCTCTCAGCAGAGTTCAGCAGAGGCCTACAGCTTCAGCAAGGCTCCATCCTCATTGACCTCAAGCACTTCTATGACACAGTGGACAGACAAAGATTAATCACAGCAGGCAAGCAGCTGCATGTCCCACCAGTCATCATGCACCATGCCATGGTCATACATGCAGCCCCCCAGATGGTTTTGCGCAGAAGGTCAAGCAGACCAACCATTCCACACCACGTTTTCCATCATAGCAGGATGCCCTTCCTCAGTGGCACTTGCCAAAGTCTACCTGCGGCAAACCTGCAACCAGATCTACCAGATCCACCCCAGCCTGGTGGTAAGCTCCTGGGTGGATGGCATCTCAGTAGACATGATTGGCAAAGCCCACAGTTTGTGGCCAAAATCCTAGCCAAGGTTGGGCTTAGAGAGCTCAATCTCATACTCAGCAAGCACAAATCAGGTTTCCTGGTCAGCTCCAATGATCTGAAGAAGGCACTTACAGGGGCACTCCCCAAAAACTCCCCTGCCATCAAAGGAGTTCTCAAAGATTTGGGATGTGACTCCACAGGAGGCAGACTCAGGAGACTCACCACCCAAAAAGCCAGATTACAGAAAGGCAAAAGAAGACTGACCAGACTCACAGCACTCCCCAAAAAACATGGCAAGAGGTTCACCTACACCAACACCATGCCAGCAGTCAACTTTGGGCACCAAACTCTGGGCTACAGCAAGACCCAGATCCAGAAGCTCAGAGTCATGGTGGGCCAAGCAGGAGCCATCAGAAAGGGCAATGGGTGCCTACACACAGCCATCAGAACAGTCTTCAGTGCCAAGTATGACCCAGGTATCAATATACCAACAGAAAATTTCCTGGTGGTCTTCAAACTTTTTTCAGAGGAAGAGCCAGATCCAACTTAAAATGTACAACCAAGTTTGGCAAGCCTTGGCCAAACAGCTCTACAGCAAACCCAACCATTGGAGCCTAGTCAAAGGCTCCTTGGCAGCATGCATTGCCTACCGCAAAGACAACCAATGGCAGGCCCCAGACATGCACCAATGGACAGCGCCAGACAATACCCAATGGGCAGTAGATTTCACTGACCCTGACCTGCCCTGGGAATTCACTGAACAATTCCAAGACATGGCAGAGGCCATAGGGTGGGCGAGGGAGAAGACACAGACAGCACTTACAGAACACAGAGATCCCCATTCTGGACATGGTCGTCCAGGGTCTTTTCAACCATGCCTGGTATGGCCTGGACAGACCCTGCCCTCTATGCCAGCACCCAGAAGACGCCCTCTACCACAGGCTATGGCAATGCCCAGAGATGTTGAAGCACCACCCCATTCCTATGTAGCAGACAACAGCTACTCGTGCAGAGGAATTCCTCCAAAGTCAATATATGAAGTTCCAGGAGGAGGCTTAGAACAAGTAACAGGCACAGGGTTATGGGAACCACTCCAACCCATTCCCACCACAAACCTGGTCTTTGGCACTGATGGGTCGGGAGGACCAGCTTCCAAGGACAAAAGACTCAGAGTGCAGCTTTGCAGTAGTTGCCTTAGACAAGGACACCTTGCAAGAAGTGGCCACCCTCAGAGGCAGCATCCAAGGCACCCAGACAGTGCCCCGAGCAGAAGCCACAGCACTCCTTTACCTTCTCAAGTACACCACTGGAGCAGTGGAAAGCAGCATTGATGCACAGGCAATCCTCAAAAGATTGAGAAAGCTTCCACAACCAAAGGCCACAAGTAACATGGACCTTTGGAGGCCACTGAGCACACACAAGCACCATAGGGGTCAGCAAACAGTGCTCCACTGGGTTAACAGTCACCAAACCCTGGAACACTTTCAAGCAAACAACCCAGATCTACCTCCCTGGATCCGGTGGACAAACCACAAGGCAGTTGCAGCAGCAGAGCAATATGCAACCCACCTTGCAGAAGAGCTCAACCTGGCCAACAAGGTTTGGGCAGCAGAATGGGTAGATGGCAGACAATATAAAATCCAACAGAGGCTCAAGTTCTGGCTTGGGCAAAAGGAGGAAGTCCCAGGACTAGCCAAACCACTAAATCCTCACAGCAATCCCAAGCTTCCCACCAGGAAGGAGTTGATAGAACACCTCCACACTACCCACACGCAGCATTTGTGGGGCACCATTGACCAGAAACTACATGGCCCAGAACGCAGCTGCAACAGATGCCACATCAGAGTCCTTTCATACTGGACCAACACCAAGGCCAACAGAGTGGCACAAGCACCCTGCCACACACATGGCAATGACTACCCCACAGTCCATCCAAGCCATGACCTGGGGTGGACAGGCACAAGGCACAGATGCAAACACTGCAGAAATCAAGCTACCACAGGGCAGCTGATCCTAAAGGATTCCTGGTTGAAACCCTGCCCAAGGCAGAAGGGAAAGAACTCCTTTTGAGCCTAGAAGAATACCTTCTGAGCTAAGTCAGCTTAGTGTTGCAGAACACAAAAAAAAGGAACATGTGGGCAGGATGTATATGTTTGTTTTTGTTCCATTTAGGTTTCTGACGCCGAGATCCTTCGAGAGATCTTCTTGAACATGGCCTGTAACTCTGAGGGATGTTTTGAAAGGGATGTGTGCCCATTTCTCCAAGCAGGTGGAGTGTCAGTGGCAGAGAGTGGTATTTGTTTTACGGTCGGACCGACACGGTGACACGTTGTTTTTTTGGGCCGAGATGGGTACACCTCACTAACATGGAAGTGGAGAATGGATGAGAACGGATAAAACGGGACCCTTGGATGACTATTATGCAATCTATAGATCAATAACAAAAGTGATCTCAAAGGACCTGATGCTAAGATCATGCTCAGATCCTGGAGATCAGCTCATCGCGGTCAAAAACGACTCCTTGCAAGTCAAAATCGCACACCGGGCCCATTTCCACTGGACATGTTGATTTTGGGAGATGTTCGGTGCACGTCCATCCATCGACGCCAGGAATCGAGTCTTTGTTACGGGTGAGTCCATCTAACGAAATCCAAACGGACCCTGCCCGTATCTGCCCGTTTACGGGGTCCGAGAAGGTCGGAGCCGCGCTGTGGCGTGGGATTCCGCGCGTGACTTGGGCATAGGATGACATATATAATTGCTTGGGTGTTCGAGCTATTTTATACATGTTAGCCTTGTTCATCATTTTTCATCCATAAAACGGCCAAGTTTGGCAGGCAGATCTCGACATGTCTTGCTACTCGAGGATCTCCCCACCGAAGCTAAGCTAACATTTTTGCCCATGCCTCCCAGTGGCCGTGCTTGTCCACCATGGAAAACAATAATAGAACTGTTTATCCATCATGGTGCCAACTTGTTAGGAATCAGCAAGATTTCAATATGGTTCAATAATTTTTTGGTAATCTATTTCATATTAAACAGGCCTCCCTGGAAAGCAAACTCTCAAAGACCAGTAGTTGGGGGCCCGAGTTGGGGGCGAACACTTTGTCAGCTTTGACGCATCAAATCATTCAGCAAATCGTGTTTTCAATCCGAAAGCGAAACAACAAAAAAACCCCACAGAGTCGTCTCCTCCCGATCTGTGTGGGTCAAAAGTGTGTGGGTTGCATCCCACCGACATTCACTGGAACACCCAAAACAGAGTCCTCTCCTCCTACAAAATCGGAATCTGAGTCCTCCACAATCAGAGTCCTCTCCTCCTACAAGAAAAATCACCTGTAAGTCGTGCCAGACTCCTAGGCTTCGAGGAGTTCCTGGACTCCTCGTTGAAGACCTTTCGCGACCAGCTGCTCCAGGCTGCGGCCATGGGGTCCTGTCCACGGTGGGTTCTTACAACGGTTTCGACCACTGTAGAGATAGGATGAGAAAGGAACTCTATAGACGACGTAGAATCCTTTGGAGTTCCTATAGACTATTTTGTTGTTTTGGTCATTGGAATCCTTCTTGAAAGGCAAGAGTGCAGCAAACCCCCGCCAAGTAGATGGCATGCTCAACGAAACATGGAAAAGTTGTATACATGGTCTTGGCCGCCAGGATGTTCTTCCCTCAACCAGCTGGGCTCCAATTCATGGAGAAACAAACCGATTGAAAAGGCAGCATCCGAGCCTAGACGCCTCCGGCCTCCGCTCTTGCGGATCTCATGGGCCTTTGCTGCATGGCAAACCACCTGAAAACACGAATCTTTTGCACGCTCAGACGGGCCGAGATGGGGCGGACCCCACCCCCAGTCGACTCATCCCTGCCCGGCGACTGAGTGGTCCAAACCGCTGCGCAGCCCGTCGTTTTGGCCGTTTCGGGAGAGTGCACAGGAGGATGTGTTCCAGTTCGGCTCGCCGAGAAGGCCTCCAAGTTCCCAGATTCCAACGGCATGATTTTGCCATGTGTTTTGTTCACTTATTATGTTTCTTAAAGAACCTTTTGAGTGGCAGCAACAAAAATTGAACAAATCCTGGATGTGTTACATGGCTTTGAAGTGCACACAGCGGATCTAGGCTCATGCGGCACATCGCCCAAAGGCAGGTGGACAGGTGTTTTTGCGTGGAGCCATGCAGGTCTGAAAGATCTGGCTGAACAGAGCTAGTTAGCTTCTTGCTGCTAGTAGCAATGGCCTCCACCCTAGTAGCGATGGCCTCCACCCTAGTAGCGATAGCCTCCACCCTAGTAGCGATGGCCTCCACCCTATTAGCGAATGCCTCCACCCTAGTAGCTTCTTGTTACTGTACTGTACATAGAACTGTCTATAGGAACGGTGTATATACAGCATCTCAATCCTGATGTGTGGGATAGGATAGTAGAGAGAACAGCGTAAGTGGTTGGTGATGCCTGGTCTTGAGGAACATCATGGTGGGTGTAGTTGTGGGGGGGGGACTCTTTTGGAGAGTCGAGAAGCACAACCAATCTTCCTCCTTTGAATTAATCACAGATTCTCTTCGTCTTAGGGAAATTCCGACTTGAGAAGGTCAGACTTGGGAGTTGATTAAACAGCAGGGCTACAAAACTCAGGCTGTGCTTGTGGAGAAACCAGCAAAACGTGTACAAGTCCGATGTCCTTCAGAACTTCACTTGCCCCGCCAAAATAACTTTGGGCCAATCTTAGCTATATAGTTGCTTGTCCAGCTTTTTTCTTTGACTCCCACTGGGTACAGAACCCGACATGATTTCTGAATCAAATTCCAGGAGGCGCTCCTTTTTGGCGCGCCGTGCTTTGGAATTCATGCCAGGCCCTCACGCCAACTCCTGCCCTGACTGCCAAGACGCCCAAGCCGTCGAGCCAGCTGCTGCTGCCGCTGCCACGACGAGAACCACACTGTCACAGGAGAGCGCAGCCACGGGGTGTTGGGGTGGACATGGGGTCGCCGTAGTCACGAGTGCAGGGGGGACTCTGTCACTTAAATACATTTAAATACAGAAAGTACCATTGCAGTTCATTTTGAGATGTTGGGAGGTTCCAGGATTCCAGGCTCCACAAAATCAGACTTTCCATGTGTAATATACGTCATTGCAAGAGAACCAGACACAACACATCAAAACAACCCAATTTCTCAGACGACAGACTCCAGATGAACACAGTTTCGTTTGCGGACTCTGTGGAGTTTTGTGTTGTCTCAAGTCATCCAATTGCGGCAGAGTTTCTCGGATCGAACGGCGGGGTTTCGGGCCGAGCCCGTGCAAAGCACTGAATTCATAGATGGGCTTCTTTTGGTGCACTTGGTTGATTGAATGATAGAAGTGATTATAAAATAAATATATATATATATGATATATGTATTATATATATCTATAATATATATACATATACACCCCGAAGTGTACCAGGCAATAGAGATTATATATATGGAACTGATCTAGCATGATTTGACTGATCACTGATCCCTCCATTATTCCTTCCAGGACGTCATTGCACTGAATTCTTTCCTCTCTGAGGAGTCTTGACACTGAGATGCTGCTGCCCATCAGGCAAGCCGCGTAGCTGGTTGGATCCAGCATTAAAAACATACTACCAACATGAAGAAATTGAAATAGCCGCTCCATCTCCAGGAAAGAGTATTTAGGTTAACAGTTAAACAGGCTTTGTTGAACATAAGAGATGCAAACAAATGGTGTTTTTTCCGTCAACATAAGAAATCAGGGCATTCAGAACCTCAGGTGCCAGGGTGTCAGAAGGTGTCAGAACTTCGTAAAGAAAAGGTATGCCTGCCGGACCCATGGGGTGCCGGGTGCCATGGTTTCTGTGTCTTCGAGCCACAGAAACCTTAAGGGCTGAAAAAAACTGAACTGATGAGAGTCTCTCTTAGGGAAAGAAGGAACCCTGTAATTCAGGAAGAACAGCCCCATTGACAATTTGATGGTACTCCAAACAATTGGTCTTGTGTGCAACTCAGATCCGACTCAGATCTCTCTTGAACATTCTACAAGTGAAAGATGAAGTTTCACACATTTGTTCTACTAAAATATTTGATGTGTTTCGGTTTCTGGGGTGTGAAACAAACAGTCTGTGTCACTTCCATGCAAGCGAGACGCCCGGCGACGCCCTATGCCCCGCGTTGGTCGTTGAGGCCCCGCAGCCCAGTGGAAGAGCCGCTGGTGGACCCCATACCGGAGGCTGCATGTGAGGCAGGGCATATTGCTACTAGGTTGGAGGCCATCGCTACTAGGGTGGAGGGCCATTGCTATTGGGTTGGAACATGTGAGGCAGAGACTAAGATGCAGCCGCCGGAGGAGGCGCCCTCCGTCTTGACGGCCGTTCTTTTCAACCACCTGTCACGCACCCAAACCCTACAAGTTGTGGGATATCGAAGACTAGATCTTCCCCATAGGGAGATGCAAAAAATACTGGAATGGGGGTTCAATGAATCACCAGTCTACCTTAATTTTTATTGTTTTGTTGGGGGGGTTGCGTGCGTTGGGTTGCTGTGTGGGATTTTGTTTGGTGCAAGCTGAGACGATGAATTTGCCAGAAAGATGGGACGTCGTTTGATCCTTGGAGCCCTGGGCCCTTGACTTGAATTTTTTTGAGCAACCACATGCAAAGTTTGAAAAGTGTAGCAGTGTAAAACTGTGGAAACTTGACGAAAAACCTTAGACTATTCTGGTGTGGCACCTATATATATATAAAGCAAGATTTGGGGAGTGTCAGCATCTCCGATCTCCTACTTTCACATGGTCAAGTTCTGTAGAAGAACAGACCAATGCTTTTGAGGTTCTATAGTTGTCAAGACCCAGGTGCAAGAGACAAAATTCAACGGAGGACTATGGACCTTTGGGAGAAGCCTCGTGGTGAACGGCATGCATAGTGAAGTGATGCCGTGTGGAGCATTACTGGGGACAGGAAGCATTTTGGAAGCATTTCATAGTGCTGAAACTCATTTCAAGTCTGGTAGTGGTACAGCCCATCTTAGGCAGTGCAGTGGAAGAGCATTTCATAGACCCCCCCTAGATAGAACAGCCGTTTCTATCTGGGGACCACTATGCTATAGAACTCCAGCACCATCCAAGACTGGATGTCCAATGGATGCCCACAACTATTGAAGACCTTTTGGATGGGGCATAGAACCGTTCCCAGCAGCCCTTCTCCCATTTGCAAGCTTGTCCTTCCCTTCTTTCAGGCGTCCCCTGCAACGGGTCGCACTCCACTGGCACGCCCGGCACGAGGTCTTAAAAGACCATACAAAGATGCTGTCCAAGCTCCGAAACACTCCAAAGGGCCCTACTTGTTCATGGCTCTATGCCACACGAAGGTTTTTGTTTGCACGACATCAGAAGGTATGCGTGCACAAATTTATCCACGATCCGCACAAGAGACGGTAACTCGGAACGTTCTCATTGAAACTTCCTTGGTATGGAATGCGCACACAGAGACTGATCTTTTGGAGTTGAAATTATTTATGCCAATGCATGAGAATTTTTACATGTCAAAAGCATGTAAAACAACGTTCTTTAACGCTTGTTGCTCCACTTCGTGGTTCCCTCGTTGCTCCACTCCACTGCTCCGGAATCCAGGATCTGATGGTGGCACCCTTGGACTCAAGTGGAAGCAGCCGCGGCAGCCGGGTGCGCATTCGGCCTGCTCTGTGGGGTAGAAGATGGTACACCGAGGAACGCATCACGAAGTGGAGTCCACCCCCCCTGTTCGCAAAGAAATGTCGTCATCCGACCATTTTACTTGCATGTTAGTCGGAGTGCCACGGATTCAGAAACTGAATTTGGATGCATCTTGGATCATCTTGGTATGTTGATGTGTTGCGTTTTCTGCCGAAGCGCTCCAAATTTGAGACCTCGGACCTTGGTCTCCGACCCGAGAGGCTTCATGAGCACGGAAGAAGAGACCATGTGAGCGACATGCCGTGGCAGGGGAGTAGACTCAGTAGACAACACAAGATGACAAGCATCCGCAGTCTCACCATGGCTTGCGGATGCTTGCGGTGGGATGCCCGAATAGGGGATGACCCACCCCGAAAATTCGGAGCTTGACCATTGCACTGTTCATCTCCTTGTTTTTGTGGTAGTTGCATTTTGTATCATGTCCTAATCAGCAATGCTGCACAAAGATGACGCCAGCACACCTGCCCGGCAATGTTGTCCTGAACACGCTCAAGCTGAATATATACAGTAACACCTTGTGTTCTCCGAGCCACTTTTTCAAACCAATCACCCATAATCACCCAATCCCAGCCTATCTTCACATCATGACTGCATGCTTCTCAACTCTGTTCATGCCGGAACTATAGTCGCTCCGCCAGCCGCCAGGGCAAGAGGCGCTCGCGCCGTCCATCAGTCCAGGATGATGAGAAGGTCGGTGAACATTTTCCGGGTCATACGCGGTGCTGGGGCATGGCCGAGACCACTGAGGATGAAGTGGAGCACTGTGTTTAGGGGAGGTTGAGGTCGGGGTGACCTCAGGGGCCTTTGGGTTTGGAGACAAAGCCTATATATATATACATCTATCATCTATATACTATATATGAATTATCATGCAGATTAGATACAAGATATTGTATCCTGTCGCATGCACCAGACCAAAGACTTAATGTGAGACATCCAGATGGCCCCAGAAGGTTAGACTTCCCTGAGCTGTAGACATCGACCCATGGGCACTGTGGCGCGAATACAATTGCTTAGAAACGTCCAATCCCAAAAGCCCCCAATATATAGTACAGTGTACAGTAGTTTCTTGCTCCTAGTAGCGATGCCAGGAGCCCCTATAGTAGCTTCTTGTTACTAGTAGTGAGGCCAGGAGCCCCTAGTAGCGTCCTTGCTCCTATCTAGTAGAACACTATCAGATTTACCCGCCCGTCACTGCTCTGGCCCGCGCCCAAGGCAGCTTTTGCAGCCACCAAGGGCTCGCGGCGGCCCTCCATTGCGGAGAGTGATCTCGTATTGTGCCTCCAGGCAGGGTTTGCCGAAGATTTCTGGCTTTGCCAGTCTTTGGAACTGTTTGCCGACTGGACTCATCTGATCTTTGACTATGTATGGACATATTTGCCTACCTTGGGGGTGTTTCACCCAGGGTCCAGGGTCAATCAATCGGCATATATTCAAGCTAGTGTTGTTTTTCTTTGGGGGGGTAATGGATAATGATCGCCCTTAATGCTGTATAGTAGTTGATCCACTGCGAAAACGTCTCATGGTGATCACTGTGATGCCCTTTGACTCAGACACCTTACATGATTTTTGTGTTCGCTTCGGTTTGCTTCTCCGCCCCGTCCCTGGATGGGTGATCGATGGCATCGCCGCCCATGGCACCGCCGTGGGTGGGAAGAAGAGGAAAAAAAAGGCGAACCTCACAGACGTTTTCAAAGGCTTTCGTAGATTGTGATCTGCGTTCTGCGAAGCCACGGGTCACGGTCGCGACTGGACAAAAGTCGAGTCCTCGCAAATTCGATTACTGTAGATAGGTCTGTCTTTTGAGGAGAAGGAGCATGCCTCCCCATGCATGATGCATAAATTGCGCAATTTCTGCTGTTACTATTATAACTTTGAGCGTTATGATGATGTGCTTGTTATCCTGTGGCGAGAGATCTTGTTTCGTTTTGTGTGTACCGTGCGGGGGGGGCATTGCCCACTAAAGTGGATTTGGATGCCCAGATCAATCAAAAGGTGCATGAGGTTGGCAGACATGTCGTGTCATGTCCTGGGTGGAACTGTTGTTAAAAGGAGAGGACCTCGCTGAAAGATCCGCAGGATTTGGATGGTGGAGTTGCACTCCCTCGCCTGTGTTGGCACTAGAAGCAAGTGAGCAGACTCTCAACAAATGAAAACGCCCTTCAAACGCATCTCCTTTCGATCCCCCCACGCCGCGAATGGAACACCTTCTGCCAGGAGGGTCTACAAGGCCTACAAGACTTACAGGGCTTGGAGCCAGACGTGACCCCTGATGTGCCCTGGCACGTATGGTCTAACTGGCTGGACACGTGTGATGCTTCGCTGCGGGCACCATGGTTCGACACAACTGCAAACCTGCTTGCTTTGGAAGGTGAAGCATGTTCATATTGACCGGAAGCCCCTGAAACCAAACAGCTTGGTGTTCATGACCGCAGGACGTGATAGGCTAGGAGGCCAGCGAAGCTGCACTTAGTTAGCTTCATGCTTTGGTTCATGTTTTCGGTCCTTTCGTCGTCTTGGGGCGCACCGCACCCAAGTTCAATCGATTTTTGGAAAGGTCCTTCAAAGCCTTAGGCACCATTCTGAGCGCCACTTTGCCCCTGTCCAATCGTCCAATCTTCCTTGCGGGTGTGCGGCGGTTAGCGTTGTTTTGTTGTTTGAGGTTGGTTCGTCAGCGGGGTGCCGGGGCCCGGACTCAAAGTCCTTAAACAACTCAAACGTGTGTTGGACTCTTCTCTCTTCTTCCAGGGGAAGTAGCTTCCAACTTTGGTCGGCCGAAATCGGTCGAATGAATTATGTTGTTATGGATGTGTGGATTTTAAAGTTCTTGGTGCTGCTTACAACCCAAGCAAATGGGCTGTCAACCAGGGGCACTGAGGCACAGAGGACGGGTGACCAGTCACTCTCATCAATTGCAGCTGATTCACAGCGGGCTCTCACTGCGATGTTCCTATCAACAATAGAGAGGAACTCCTGCATCCTGCACGTCCCAGATTGGAACTGATTGATTTCAACAATAGAGATGTTCCTCCAACTGAGATGTTCCTATCAACAATAGAGAATCCTAAAGATTCGGATTTTGACATCACTGCGCTTCACCGAACATGACGGTCCAATCCTGCACCGTGATTCCTCGATCCATGGACGACCCGCATGTTCGTCATGTTTGTCATGTAATAACGTAGGCGGTTGACTAGTCACACACACACACACACACCCATGTACAATTTTATATGGATGATTTTCCCAGTCTACAGGATGGTATGTGATTCAACCGTCTACATTTGGATTCCGTTCGACCTACAGGATGTGATGCTGTTTGATACTCTGTCCATTTGCCACACAGGCGGACGACACCATGACCCTCGAAGCGCAAGGCCGACTGCAGGTGGGGTAGGGCAAATCTACTTTGAGGGATGGAAGACTTACATATAGATATAGAGTCTATAGAAAATAGACTTACAACGACTTACAATACAAATAAGTAATATACATAGACTTACATAGGTTTTTGGGGAAGGAAGTCTTGTTTTTTGAGAAGATAGAGGGTATCACCCTAGTCCCTAGTTACTGTAAGTTCTTTTGTCTTTGTCTATATATACCTAGACCTAGCCTTCTTCCGTCCGCTTCCTGTACTGAAGAAAGATATGTGCAATCCTTGACTTCATTGGCACCGCTGGAGCGATAGTTGTTTGATCCACCGACTTGAACCAGTCACTGCTGGACGCTCCGTTCGGGGCTCCTGGCATCGCTACTAGGAGCAAGGACGCTACTACAGGGGCTACTAGGAAGCTACCAGGAGCCAACTAAACTGCTGGAAAAAGCCACCGGCTCGTGTTCCTCATGTGTTCCTCATGCACTGCAACGACCGCGTAACTTGAGACGACCGACCATGGTCGGTCGTCTCCATCAACAGAGATTGTGTTTATTTGTGAAGTCTTTGTGGGGGTTCCCTGCTTTGAGACAGGCAAACAAAGGAGGAACAGGAACAGATGTTTTCTATCAAATCGTAGAGATAAACTGATTAAAACGACAAAGACTCTCGGCTTTACAGAAAACGGACAGACAGGAATCAGTTCTGTCCATGCCTTTGCAGGATGTGACATGGAGATGGTTTCCAGGGTTTTCATCGTCTTCAATCCACTTGCCACATACAGGCACACTATTGATTCAATTCGATATACTGCATATATATATATTAATATGAGTGTCCCGACAATCAAAAAACATAAACACATTTTGGCGGTAGATCCTTTGCCTTTGAATTTCACTTCAGTGGCCAGACAAGAGGATTTGCCATAGACGCTATATGCAATTGGTAGACGCCTGAACCAACGCAAGCCAGCCTGAAACAGGTGGGATCACAGAACCAGCAAAAAGGTGTCACCCTAAAGAAACATGAGGGGTGCAGAGATGGGTCTATCTACTCTCAGGATTGTTGCAGATGGTGCTTGCCTTGCCTTTGTGAATCTCATTACCAGGATTCCTTCACCACTTCCCCAACTGCTTTTTGTTGATTCTTTCGATTCCTCTTTACGGAATAAAACATGAAAACGTACATTTTGGACCTTGCAGGTCCGCTTGGGTGCGCTGGATACCCTGAAACTCATCACTGGAGAAGAGCTCCACGACACCACTGTAGCGCTGGGTTTGACGTCCTACAGCATCGAGGAGTCCTTTTCTCGCCGGTCTGCGAAAAAAAGGAGATGAAAGAGCACTGATGTGTCCAACCGGAAACACATGGACTGCGCTCAAACGTGCAGGTTTGTCCATCAGTGGTAGAAAACTGTCCACGCCAAACTTATTTCATCTTATTTCCAATCTGTAATATCTTCATCTCTGAGGCTGGAATCAGTACACACCCTGGACCCATGCCAGGTGAAGATTCTTGCGAAAGACGCTTCGTTTGTCAGGGTCAGGGTCAGTTCCAATATTGTGCTCCGCATTGCTTTGCGAGATGCAGGACATGAATCAGATGCTGAACACTTTGGCTGACTATATCGACCTGAAGTTTGTCACGATGGTGCGGGCGAGAAGAGAGATTAGAGATGAAACGCATAGCTGTCATGCTGCGTGAGCTGCCAGGGTTACCACTGACCAGAACCTCATTGGAAAAGAGAAACGTTGAACAATACCTCCGAGTCGATGGGGACCTGGGCTGCGTAAAATCCCGAGAAGTGGACCGCCCATGTTTCCAGAGACTGGTGTGTAATGGAAAAGGAATCCTTGTTACGAACCATGGTGGGAGTCCCTGGAATTGGAGGCTGGTTCACAATTGTGCGAAGACTAGGGCCCTGACAGCACCATCAGGAAAACACCGGATGACAAGACCATTCATGAGTCCATGAGAATAAAAACTGCCCAGATCTCAGACGATAGCCGATAGCCCAGATCAGACGATGACAGGACTGTTGATGTTAAAGCGAAACAGACTGTTCGTTCATCCGCATCCGATGTTTGGTGGATTAAATCCAAACACATAGACATAGTATCAAAAATATACTGAACACCTAAACTAATTCTGATGTAAAGACCATGACAACCAACTCGCATGATCTCTCATATATGTCCATCTCTCGTGCATGATCTCCAACAAGCAGGAGTCCCCCAAGGGCAAGCATCGACTGGGTCGTGGCGCCAGCGGCCTCTTTAAGCACAGCACTCCTCCTGGACCTCCCAGTTGGGAATGGCCAAGGCGTGCCGTCGATGACCTGAGACCGGGAGACTGGGGAGACCGGGAAGATGGGTCCTTTGTGCTGGGAACCAGGGCTGGGGACAAGAGCAGCAACGGCTGCTTTCCCCCCCCCAAAAGGTGGATATTCCAGCGAGAAATCAGGAGCTGGAACTAAGAGTTGGTCTAATAAGATTGATTGTTAATTTGATCTAATAGTACCAGGAACCAAGTGTTTTTGTTGTGTGTATTATTAGTTTCATTGTGCTCGAGGTCTGAATGCTTTTCGTGTGAACAAGTGCCCATATTGGATCATATATCTACAGATTTGTTGGGCAAAGCGGCGCAGCTTGCTGAGAGACTCTCACATGGTCACAGCTCTCCGGTGGCAGCAGAAAGCTGGGTTTGGGACCCTGAAGAGATATCAAAAGCCTAGTGCGATGATGTGCCAAGCCTGGTGCCATGTGCGCTGGATGAACTCTTGGAACCAGCTCAAGACCTGGTGTTTTGATACAAACAACTCAAGGCTCCCGCTTCGCTTCTCCGACCCTCGACCGTAGGCCACTTCCAACCAGGAGAATTTCCACCATTGGCCGAGGCGAGCAGCGGAAAACGCCAAGGTTAAACGTACCACCAATGGCTGGGTGCCAGGGATCACACAGGAGTGGCCTCACCTCCATTATATAAGCACCCGGACATGGAACTGCTGGGTGGTTTCAGATAGTTCTTTTCAACCTTTACTTGGGATGAACGAACCCACTGACGCATTTATGTAATTAGTTGAAAGCACCCACCAGATTGGAAATTCTCACACATCCCACTGTCCAATGATTCTGGCCAAGACATTGAGGCACCATTGGATTTCAAAGCTTACGCATGTCCTATTTTTGTGAGTCAAGGGGCCCCAGTCATGCCCTTTTTTGACTTCGAACACGTTGGTGTCATGTTACCATATGAAGAAGAGTTTCTATGTCCCAACTCTTTCAAGTTCCTTATGTCCTTTGCATCAATTCCTTGACAGTGATTGAGTCCGCTTTCCTTGCCAAAGATTGCCACGATCCTTTTAGCCAACACACACACACACACCACACACAAAAGCCATCAAAGGACTCATCGATGCTGTCATCTATAACTGCTCCCTTCATATGGAAGCAACCCTGGGCACGTGTATATGTTGGATGCTTGAGCCGTGAAAGCTACTTATCCAAAACCATCCAAGTACAGCGAACATACTTTGAAGCCATGAATCAGTCTTCTCTTGGCCAAGGCAAAGCAACGACCGCTTTAAAACGCATTTTTTTGGAATCAAACTTGTCGGCCAGAAAATAAGGAAGTTGTATTTCAACAGACGTTCTTTCACACCCGGAAGCAAATCAGCCAGGCAAAAGAGACGAGTTGATTCTGGTTTCTTCTCCAAGCATCAAGGAAGTGGAGTGCTCCCATTGTTTCTGGAGAGAAGCAGTCCTCCAAAGGATTGAAAGACAAATTCACGAAACTGGTGGGCTGGACTGTAGCCCTGACATGCATGTTGGTTAAGAACCATTATAAGTATAGAATGTACTACCACGGTGCTACCAGCTGCTTCTGTTTGGGGTGTCCTGAGCACCTGAGAATCACACTCGCTACACATGCAGCCGTGGACGGCTCCCGTCCTCAGGCAGCATTCAGATTTTGGAGCCCAACAGCCGCTGGAACGCCATCCCGTTCCGGGGCCCCGTTTGGACGGACGGCGGTTTTCGGGCCAAGCCCAGTACAGAAGCCGATATTATATACAGACCTGCATTGGTGGCTTTAATTGCATCAACTGGAGGTTCGTACTTGGAGGTTCCGGAGAAGGTGGGGCATGGCTTCCGATCCGCAGTTTTTGCTCAACAAAGTCTGAAAGGATTTAGGAAATCGTGAAACCTTCCGCTCCGGACATGTTCTCAGGGGAAGGTATCGGGAAGCCGAAAGGAAGTGCTTGTTTTGGAGGCTTTCATTTTGCAGATCCAGAAGATGCCATTCTATTTGGGATGGGAACCCAACAATGAGCGATATCAGACACTTCCTATTTAGATCTTCATCGTTATGCTGTCCTGCACCTTCATGAGCATGTCATGTCACACAGTTTGCAAAGGAGTCACGTGCCGCTTGCAAAAGCCGGAGACTCCCCTATTAAGAACCCGCATGGCTCACGGCTCACGTTCATCGTCCTCATCCTAGACCGGCGGATATTCTTTGGCTCTCTAAGTGTCGGACGGTATGACGTCAGCAAAAGGTACTTGGACTGTGCCAAAAAGCTGGGCAATTGGCCAATTCTGGGCAAACATCATCGGTGGACTGGGCTTGGTGGACTGAGGTTCCGGGCCTTGGTGGAAGCTTTTCAAAGGGATGAGCAGGCGTGGGGTGTGTGTGTGTGTGTGTCAACCCCTGTTCCAAAGGGTCCTGTGCTTCTGTTTCTGATACCACTGCAGGGGGGCCAGCGCATGACATCACGACGCTGGCCAACGAAGCTAGTGATGTCATGGGATGCGGTCAGAGACGTCTGACCGTGTACCTGCCAAAAAAACTGTTGCCCACGCTGTCCAATCTCCTTTTTTGATTCCATGGTGGTTCATGATTCTTTCCCCTAAACCTTTCCTTTTCTTTTGCCGCTTTCTCATGCAGCTGAATCGTGCAGATGCTCGCCACCGCAGACATGTCAACAGATTGTTCAAACAATACAAGTGCGCGGACCTTCTCACCCTGCGGTTCCCTCACCTTCCTTCTCGACGTGGGAATTGAGTTAACAGAAAACCAATGTCAGAGTGTGAACCGCTCAGCCGTCCCACTTGGGTGCTGGGTGTGATCCTCCGCAAGGAGGCGCCGCTTTCATACCGGAAATCGTGTAACTGCTTTGACCGTTTTCACCCAACCTTGGTTTCTCTTAACTGTTTTCTTCCACCTTGAATTTACGGCCTGCATTCAGCATGTCACTCCAGTGCAAGTTTCTTTTCGATATGCAGCCGACTTTTGAGTTTCAAGTGTGTACAGCGGCAGCGGCTGAAGAGCTTATCCGGCTGTATGTCCAAAAAGGGCATGATCAAACTGCGTGCCGGCGATTTTTGAGAAAAAAACAGCAGCCACCGTCCTTTCATGCACCTGCGCCGACTTCGGCTATCTGTGTGTGTCCACCCCTGTTCCAAAGGATCCTGTGCTTCTGTTTCTGATACCACTGCAGGGGGCCAGCGCATGACATCACGACGCTGGCCAACGAAGCTAGTGATGTCATGGGATGCGGTCAGAGACGTCTGACCGTGTACCTGCCAAAAAAACTGTTGCCCACGCTGTCCAATCTCCTTTTTTGATTCCATGGTGGTTCATGATTCTTTCCCCTAAACCTTTCCTTTTCTTTTGCCGCTTTCTCATGCAGCTGAATCGCGCAGATGCTCGCCACCGCAGACATGTCAACAGATTGTTCTAACAATACAAGTGCGCGGACCTTCTCACCCTGCGGTTCCCTCACCTTCCTTCTCGACGTGGGAATTGAGTTAACAGAAAACCAATGTCAGAGAGATGTCAGAGTGTGTGTGTCCACCTCTGTAACTAAGAGTTTCAACTTGTCATAGCAGGGGGGACGGGTCACGACCAATACTGCCCGTCCAACGAAGAGGGTATCGCTTGGTGCTGAAGCAGTGGAGGACGCTCCACTGTGTACCTGCATCAAACGCAATGACTCCACTGGTTTCCCTTGCCGCTGTTGGTTTGTTTCCATGGTAGTTCTTCGCATGATATCCCCCAAAACAGGTTTCCTTGCAGGGCGTGAATTCAGTCTGCTAAGTATATAATCAGTAACTAGTTTTCTGCAGTCACGCGTCAACCTTTGTTAAAACACCTTCAAGTACTCGGACTCTTCGCCTTTCGGCTCACTCTTTCCTTTCCTAGGTCTGCTAAGTATTCAGTAACTAGTGTTCTGCAGTCACGCGTAACCTTCTGTTAAACAATACTGTTCTGCGGACTCTTCCACCTTTCCGTTCCCTCACCTTTTTCCACTTGGGAATAGATTAACCGAAAACCAATGTCAGAGTGTGAACCGCTCAGTCGTCCCACTTGGGTGCTGGGTGTGATTTCCCGCAAGACGCTGTCCTCATTCCGGATTACCATTCACTGATTTTCTTCTGTTCTGCGCACGTTGGATTGTCTTACGGGACTCTGTTTCACTCCTGGATTCCCAAAACCCTATGCCGTCGGGCCCACGACAACATTTCCACCGGTGCATTCATGTGATTGATGTCGCATTTTGTCCAGTTCCTTCGACATGTCCATTTGCAACTCACTTTCCACGCCGCCGAGCTTACGGCCATGTATATGTGTGTCACACATGCACCTCCACGCACCCCCCCCCCCACCTTGCAACCGAGTTCATGTTTCTATCCCACCCGCTATCTAGGGTTACAGAAGGAAATGGTACTCGACACACTTGTGTGTCGGTACCTTTCCTTCTGTTTCTCCTTTTCTACTCCTAGCTACCCGGGCGGTTTAAGACGAATGTCCCGCTCGCTAACTAATGCATTTAATTCATTTCGGCTAAGTATTCAGTAGCTAGAAGGTTTCATAACTAGTGGGCCTCGTAACTACTCCTATTTTTCTCTCTTGCCCTCTTCGTTTGCTCTTGTTGTTTTTCCTTGTCTGTCTTTCTAAGGCTTTTTAGGTGTTTAGTAAGTTCCTCCAGAGCGCCGATATCGGCACACTGTGTGTGTGTCCACCTCTGTAACTAAGAGTTTCAAGTTGTCATAGCAGGGGGACGGGTCACCACCGATACTGCCCGTCCAACGAAGAGGGTATCGGTTGGTGCTGAAGCAGTGGAGGACGCTCCACTGTGTACCTGCATCAAACGCAATGACTCCACTGGTTTCCCTTGCCGCTGTTGGTTTGTTTCCATGGTGGTTCTTCGCATGATATCCCCCAAAACAGGTTTCCTTGCACGGCGTGAATTCAGTCTGCTAAGTATATAATCAGTAACTAGTTTTCTGCAGTCACGCGTCAACCTTTGTTAAAACACCTTCAAGTACTCGGACTTTTCGCCTTTCGGTTCACTCATTCCTTTCCTAGGTCTGCTAATTCAGTATACCTAGTGTTCTGCAGTCACGCGTAACCTTCTGTTAAACAATACTGTTCTGCGGACTCTTCCACCTTTCCGTTCCCTCACCTTTTTCCACTTGGGAATAGATTAACTGAAAACCAATGTCAGAGTGTGAACCGATTTTCTTCCGTTCTGCACACCGGTGGATTCTCTTAAGGGACTCTGTTTCACTCCTGGATTCCCAAAACCCTATGCTGTCGGGCCCACGACAACATTTCCACCGGTGCATTCATGTGATTGATGTCGCATTTTGTCCAGTTCCTTCGACATGTCCATTTGCGACTCACTTTCCGCGCCGCCGAGCTTACGGCCATGTATATGTGTGTCACACATGCACCTCCACGCACCCCCCCACCTTGCAACCGAATTCATGTTTCTATCCCACCCGCTATCTAGGGTTACAGAAGGAAATGGTACTCGACACACTTGTGTGTCGGTACCTTTCCTTCTGTTTCTCCTTTCTACTCCTAGCTACCCGGGCGGTTTAAGACGAATGTCCCGCTCGCTAACTAATGCATTTAATTCATTTCGGCTAAGTATTCAGTAACTAGAAGGTTTCATAACTAGTGGGCCTCGTAACTACTCCTATTTGTCTCTCTTGCCCTCTTCGTTTGCTCTTGTTGTTTTTCCTGGTCTTTCTTTCTAAGGCTTTTTAGGTGTTTAGTAAGTTCCTCCAGAGCGCCGATATCGGCACTCTGTGTGTGTCCACCTCTGTAACTAAGAGTTTCCAGTTGTCATAGCAGGGGGACGGGTCACCACAGATACTGCCCGTCCAACGAAGAGGGTATCGGTTGGTGCTGAAGCAGTGGAGGACGCTCCACTGTGTACCTGCATCAAACGCAATGACTCCACTGGTTTCCCTTGCCGCTGTTGGTTTGTTTCCATGGTAGTTCTTCGCATGATATCCCCCAAAACAGGTTTCCTTGCACGGCGTGAATTCAGTCTGCCAAGTAATCAGTAACTAGTTTTCTGCAGTCACGCGTCAACCTTTGTTAAAACACCTTCAAGTCCTCGGACTTTTCGCCTTTCGGTTCACTCTTTCCTTTCCTAGGTCTGCTAAGTATTCAGTATACCTAGTGTTCTGCAGTCACGCGTAACCTTCTGTTAAACAATACTGTTCTGCGGACTCTTCCACCTTTCCGTTCCCTCACCTTTTTCCACTTGGGAATAGATTAACTGAAAACCAATGTCAGAGTGTGTGTTGTTCGTCCGAAAGACGGGTTTTCGCGTGGGGATTTCCTTAGGATTCATGTGTGTAGTCATCCTCCAGACAGGAAGCTTTGTTCAAGCAGGGTCAGTGTCAAACCTTCAAAGCAGGTCCTGATGTCTCGGGTGAGGGTATCCCTTTTGTGTTCTAATGCATGCATGGGTTATCATGTATTTCGCTTTCCAACAAAGCGACTAAGCGGATTGGACTTGTATAGGAGGGTCTCTCTATAGTCGATTCAGAAAGGTGACGATCGGTGCCAAGTCCACATTCCCCCCCTTTGACAGGTGGTTTGTTCCGTCCGGGAACACCACTTCTGCCAGCCCCGGCGAGGAGCTGAGTCGGAAGGTCTTTACGGCTCCAAGGATGATGGTTCAATTTCAGGCTTCGGTCGGGTCACCAGGTCGGCTGTGTGGTCCGCTGCAGGTGATTTCATGTGTTTTGCACTCTTTAACGGAATGTTGCAGTGGAGAAATAGTGCTTGCAGTTTCTGGGAAGCATTTTAAGACGAAAGACTCAAGAACGGTCAAGAAACCCACTGGAAGGCCACCTGGATCCGTCGAGCAGTTTCCAATGTGCGTCGAGTTTAGGCCAAAGTGGCGCATCAGGCCACAACCGCGAAACCACGTAAAATGGTTTCGGTTGCAGACCACTTAATATGTACTTCTCCAGCGAATCATGTAACAAATTCACAAATTCTAGCCAATTCCAAAGTTTAGTTTATCCACCCTTCCTACTGTCACAATGCAGATTGGTGGATGTTGATGGTAGATGGGGTCCATCAATTCCGCACATCTACGAAATCCCCTGACACGCTCCGTGGGCTATCGACGCGTTTTGCGTTCTTGTTATGACTGTTTCATATAGATTGACCCACCAAAACCATCTCCAACTTGATGAGCCGCTCGGACGGATTCCTGCTGCTAAGCGACACGAACGCTGCCGTCCGGGGTCAGTCCTCGTCAGGCGGTGAAGGAGATCCTTTTGGCCGGGGACACCAACCGACTGGTGGCGGAGTTGACCTTTGAGCCTCGGATTTGATTGACCTCGTGTCGCTACGATTCGGTATGGAGCCAACAGGTCAGCCTACCAAAGCACCTGAGTGTTCAGGGTGCCATAGAACCAGGATTTGGCAGCTTTAGTCAAAAACACCGTAGACTCCGTAGACTGGTTGCACAGCCAAGACACTAAGGGAGCAGCTTTGCATCCGTGACCTTTGGATCATTTTCCGGCATAGCCTGCACACATTGGCCATCATTAGCCTGCATAGCCTGCATCGAAACGGCACGATTGAAATGAACACGGTGTTTTTGATGGCAAACGACTGAAATTGGTGTTGGCACCGCCCAACGGCAGAACAAACCACACCCGTGGAAGGTCCAGGTATATATATATATATATATTATAGGGAACACTCAGTGGTCCTTGGGGTTTCCTCGCGGTGACCGCACAACGGCTTGCAGCGACCGGGGTGGTCCGAAGGCTTCGGTCCGAAGGCTGCACGGCTTCGGCATCCGGCGTGAGTTGATGTGAGCTAGATGACTGGCCCATGTGGGTGTGTAGTTGAATAGAAAGACACCCGGCAGCCCTGGTAGACTGGTCTGTGTGGATTTTGGAGGAGTACTTCTAACAGCGATTCTTTCCACTGTCCTGCTGCCACACATGACCTCAGCCGAGGTGCGCATCAATGACCTGGCCGCGCCACCAGAGAAGATCGACGTCTTGGCCTACCTGGACTGTTCAGAATGGGACGGATCTGGAAGAACTGGGCGCCCGAGTTGTCCTGTTGGGATACATGTTGAAAGGGGCTCCAAACGCGCAAAGAGCACCTTCCCAGAGGGTCTCAACCACGCTTTTGAGCTTCTGTTGCTGAACTTCCAAGAAAAGCCTGAGCGGAACATGTGTTGCTAATGCATGTTAATGCCAAAGAATCCATTATCATCCATGATTCATTGTGGAATCATGTTCCTATTCATACATTCTGGTGGACTCGGGGGTCAATGGCTGTAGTGAATGTTCCATGATTGCTAGCGGATGAGAAGTGGGTGTCCAACCAGCTTGTGACAAAACTGCTGTTCTGTTTCTCGGGTTGCAATTACACCTTTTGCAGGAACCGCTGGTCTTTCTAACCATTCTTGGAAATGGCATTATGAGCCCTGGCTGGTGAGTTGCTTCACAATCATCACGGCCTTGTCAACCCACTTGATGAGCTGGGCTCACCCGCCTGTTGCTGCTGATGGAGGAGTTATTATCGGAGTTCTCCAAAGAAAGTCTCACATTCAGGAATAGACACCAGGACATGGAGAGGGGTACCAGCTCACCAAAAAATGAACTACTAGCGATGGCCTCCAACCTAACAAAGATGGCCTCCACCCTAGTAGCGATGGCCTCCAACCTAATGATTGCCCAGCACAATTGTCACTATGGGCTTCCATTGGACACCCCTTGGATGGAGTTGGTATGTAATATATTTGGATTTGGATGGATTTGGTGTATCCCGATTGGATGTTGTTCAAGCTAGTGATCGCCAGTTGGGCAGAAAAGAAGATAAACACAGGGAAGAACATGTTGGAAGAACAGGATGAGCGCCACTACTGTAAACTGAGAGTTGCTCAGACACGCTAAAGCGACTGGCCGCGTTCTCTTGGTCTCTTGGTTGTCGGTGGGTTGGATGATGGTGTTGTGTGTTGATGCTTTCAACTTTCAGACATCAATATTTGAAGGATGTTGTTTCTGAGTGCTATCCCTCACAGTGCTGTGCTGTCGCACTAGAGGATAAAAAGATGCCACAGACATGTGACCTATCATCCAAGGATTGGAGTTCAAAGTGACCCAGAATATTACGACTGGAAGGGCTGGTGGTGGATGGAATTGGCCACAGCCTGAGGGGCGACTCCTTCGTGACGTCCTTCGTCGTTGGCTCCTTTGAGCCGAAATCCTGTTCGGCTCAGCAAGCCCTCTCCGCCCGTGCCCGTCTTCGGCCCTCGTTTTAGGAGGAAAAGGCCGAGTCTGACGGGAGAACTCTCTCGATATGGTGTTCACACCATGTTTGGGGCACTTCCATGCACATCCCGGTGCTCCAAAACCGATGTGTTCCAGCGGCTGCCGTCCAAACAACCTAACCTTCAAGACATCAGATCCTCGATCCAAGAAGTGCATCGTTTTTTCTCATCCGTGCGCAGCAATGAGGTGTTGAGAGGACCGGCATAGAGAACGCGTTCCGCCATTGAGTTTTCGACACACCATGCGGCGGTTGATGATTGATATAGAATATAGTACCTTATTTGTTGTAAGATTTGTCTTGTACATCTCCACTCCGTTTTTACCCGATGCGCCCGAGCCAACGACTCCTTAGGTCTTTGCCCTCGTCCTCGTGGCGGAGTTCCTCCTCCGCTTGGCGGTGCAGGGCTGTTACACCCACTTCCGGGGGCCTGACAGGAGAGGTCTTCGATGGTGAGAGGTCTTCGAGTCTCTGGGCTTGACGGAAGCCTGACTTCGATTGACCCCTCCTCAACCACCCCAATGTAGGCTCCAATCGATGGTTTGGGATAGGTTTTGTCGCCGGAGCTGAAAATCGGTCCAAACACTTCACTTGCCGGGGGGACAATTCAACAGTGATTGAAACAAGGGTCAAGTCTTAGTTTGTTAAGGCAAGTTTATTGGATATGTTTTTCTCGTTCTTGTAATTTGAGTGTTCTAGGGGTTTTGACGGTTTGTGGACCTACATTCTACAGTTCTTAGTCATTTGTGTTTTGCCATCATTTGCATGAAGTCAGGTTGCAAAGTGGAAATCTATCAGTTTCTAGCTACTTGTAGCGATGTCCTTGTTACTAGTAGCGATTCCCTTGTTACTAGTAGCGACGCCATTGAAGACCCCTTTGAAGGTCCAGGTACATAGCACATGCATAGCGCATAACACAAAAGGGTTGAGCTACATATGTCAAGATTCGCGTGGGTTTTGAAGCAACATGTAAAGCGCGTGAAGCACCGTTCGCTGGTTCCGCGAGACGTCGGAAGTCAGAAGTTCTCGGGATAGGCATGTGGTTCGCTGTGTGTTGCTCTCATCTTGGTTTGTTTGATTTGTTTACTGTGATTAGACTGTTTTTGTGATGACCAGGTTTTGTCCATGCGGGCTCCCTGCATTTGCAATCCAATGCAGGATATGGAATTTATTTGATTTGCTGTTTATCACCACAGCCATCGTTGATTTGGTGCTGCTTGGACGAACAAAAAGTGTTTATCGTCGGTGTTTGCAATTCATCCCAGGGGAATTATAGAGTACAGAACTGCAAACTGTAGGCCAAAAGTACATTTGATGCTAAACTCATTCACATTTCTCTTTGTACAAGGCATGCCCAGGGTGTTCGTTCTTGGTTTCGCTGCGGCGTTGGATCGACTGCGACATTGGGGCAGCTACCTTCAGTTCCAAAGTGGGAGATTCTGGAAGCAGCAGACAAATCCATACTCATTCCCAGGTCCATTCAGGTTCAGGCTGCGGAAGATATCATAACCGTTTGAAGAGTTGTTGATCCGGAATCGCCAGAAGACAACCGGGTTGGAAATTCACTACTAGATAATATCATCCACGACTGGCGGCATTTGGTCGATCGAGAATGCATCGTATCAGTTTGAGCCCCAAATTGGTATATAAATGTATATAATTGATTTAGAATGATTTAGATTTAGCTTTGTTTGGTACAAACAATTCCTCAGAGGCCGTGTGGAATAAGATGTTTTTCAATTTCAGACTTCATAGTTTCTTGTTTGGTGATAGCGAAAGTGCATTTTGCAGATGTGTGGTTCGAAGAGGGCGTTATGGTTTTAGTTTAAGAACATGTTGCCACCAGTCACACCACTTGCATTTGCTTGGCGGCACTTTATACGGACAGGTCTCAGGGAACGAGCGTGGGCAGTTGAAATTTTAAATGGTTCGTAAATGAAGGTAGAGGGAAAGGAATGAGAAGGGAATGAACTGATAAATCATATGAAACCAGTGGACTTGGGTTTGATTGTCGGTTGATTTGGGAATGTTCTCTTTGGAACCAGAATGGCACGCTGGCACACTATTATAAAACCATTTCGATCAGCATGATCAATAACGACATATGATGAAAAAGGAAGATAACTTGAGGAAGACAACGCAAACAACAGAATCACTAGAGACTAAGATCAAGGTCAAGATCAAACTCAATCGGACGTAAAGGACCAGAGATGAAAGTGTTTAAGAATATATACAGAAAGAAGGATAGATATATGAACATAAACCAGCATCAGAGCAAGAGACCAATCAACCCAAACAGGAACAGATGTTGCAGACAAGCGAAGGAAGCAAAAGCCCAAAGATGCCGAAAAGTCAAGGGGTCCAGGCTAAGTCTTGTCTGCCAGAAGGCTCCGCCGGCCTGCTTCACTCACGTCAGATCCATCTCTTGCCACACCGAGCCGGCTTGTGAGGTTGGAGCTTGTGGCCCAAGATTCGGCCACTGGGGCCTTGTGAGGATTTGATGCAGACAGATGTGAATTCGGGTGTGGCAAGTGTGCGGTTGGGCTTTTGTTTAATGGGACACCCTGTGAACGTCAGATTATATCCTCACCCAGACGCAACCAACGCAACCCTGGACCCTCCTTTTCTTATGTGGTCCTCTTACTCTTGGTGAAACAAACTCGGGCTGTTTGGAGCGGCTGGGACTCACTCATTCATGTGAGGTACGTTCAAAATGCTGGTAAAGGCAGCTCCTGGATGTCCTGTAGATCACCCATTTGAGCCTGAGCTGGACCGCCCGGCTTTTGGAGGCTCCAAGGCTCATCCCACACCTGTCGGTGTCTCATCCCGGAGCCAGCACAGGTTTCTTCGTAAGTACAACATTGGATTTGGGCCAACATGTTAACGACATTGCGTTGGTTGTACGGGTTGTGTGAACATATGGAGCCTCAAACTGGGACAGACAGATGACAGGAATGATGGATCCTGTGGACTGCGCTTGATCCTACCGGTGGGGGAACGCCATGTCTGGACCTGTTGTCCCTTTTATCTCTCTCAAGTAGAGGCATCCTCTAAATGTTCCTGCTAGAACAACCCTTATGAGTCAACTACACTGCTACGCTCACTGTAGCAATAACATGTGTTTGTTCTTTCTCGCTCCAGAGCTTGGCCTAAGTCTGTGGCCATCGCCACCCTGCTGCGCTTCGCGCGCATGGCGCGGATCACGCGGATCATGAAGGTCTTTCGTGGCTGGGACTGCTTTACGGGGCAAAGGTGGATCCGGAGTTTGAGAGTTCAACAGCGCTCGAACTACTTGCTGAGATGCCGTCATGGGGTGCCCACAAAAAATATAAAGCCGAACGCAGTGTTTTTAGTATGTTTGCAAGACATGATGTTCAAGAATATATAGAGTGTTTATTTTCGTAACATGCTCGTAAGGGTACTCTTCCTTTAAGATGGCTTGAGATGGCCCCAAGGTGTGAGTTAGGCTGCCGAAAATGCTTTACATTATGTGCCTTTTATGTTTCTGGTAAAAACAACTACCACAATTATAGCTGCAACTACAACTGCAACTGCAACTGCAGCCGCCGCCACCACCACCACCACAACAACAACAGCAACAACTCTCACTTGTTTCCCCCTGCCGCCCGCCACTGAACCGCTGCTGGCCCGCTGTTGGGCGTAAGCCCCTTGAATCGGGCGAGCACCACCACGACGACGACGATGACGACGACTACTACTACTACTACCACCACTACCACGACCACTACGACTACTACTACTACTCCTACTCCTACTCCTACTCCTACTCCTACTCCTACTCCTACTCCTACTACTCCTACTGCTACTGCTACTGCTACGGATAAAGTCGAGTTCCGCAACTGCGCAGGATTCCGCAACTGTTTAGTCGCATTCCGCAACTGGGTTTCCGCAACTGGGATTCCGAAGCTAGGATTCCGCAACTAGGATTCCGCAACTAGAATTCCGCAACTAGGATTCCGCAACTAGGATTCCGAAACTAGGATTCCGCAACTGTCAAGATTCCGCAACTAGGATTCCGCAACATTGTGGACTCCCTCACTAGGATTCCGCAACTTTGTGAATGATGAGGGATGTCGAGATCGCACGATGGGGACAAGGGGGGGTTGGGGGTTGGGGGGGTTGGGTGGGGGGCTAATGACGTTGGTTTGGATGTGCTTCGAAGGTGATGTCACAGGCACACACGCTATCGCATGATGTGGAGATCACCAGTTGCAAGTTTCAGAAGGCAAGCTGCAGAATCTGACTTTCCAGTTTCAGAATACCAGTTGCAGAATCTGACTTTCCAGTTTCAGAATCCTAGTTTCAGAATCCCGGTTTCAGAATCCTAGTTTCAGAACCCCAGTTTCAGAATCCTAGTTTCAGAACCCCAGTTTCAGAACCCTAGTTTCAGAACCCCAGTTTCAGAACCCTAGTTTCAGAATCCGACCGATTAGTTTCCGAATCCGGCTCTAACCCTACTGCTACTGCTACTGCTACTACCACCGACGTCGACGACGACTGCTACTATACTTCGACTACAACTACGACGCCCCGCACTCTGCATCTCCCCGCCATGTTTTTTCCTTGGTTGGCCTGCTGGCCCGCTATTGGGCGTCAGCCCCGCATGTGTGGGCAAGTGCAAGGGTTAATGAACTTGAAGGTGGGGCTGCCTGGATAGGACTAATGCAAACATAGAGGACTGCCGAAGATACGGTATGCGGAGGCTGTTCAGATCATTTTGCAGCCTGACAATTTTCCTCATTTGCTCTGGGTGTGGAAAGACCAGCATGGTTTTACGCCATGGCACTCCTTCTTCAAAGCGGAGCAGACCATCATCTCCCGCAATGTTCTCGCGTCGAGGAGAGCTGGCAGGAACGCGCCTTCACCGCCCGCATGTTGACGCGAGATGGAGACGAAGTCAAGGTCGCTGCTACCAAGGCGCAGCCCGCAACCTGGTCTTAGATGAAAATCATTTTTGGATCCCGTGCCCGTGCCAACCCATCTCTCTCCCAGTGACCTGATGTGCCCCCAGCCGGGTGTGAGCCAAGCTGCGCCGAAACAAAAGGACGCCCTGCCACATGAAAGCCTCCCTCCCCAGACCGTGCCTTGCCGAGGTCCTTCTTCCGAGCCTGTCTCAAGGCCAGAAGGCCATTTCCTAGGGCCCAGCATCTCCCCTTCGGCTCGCCCTCAACCAATGAAAGTCCACACGAAACATTCCTGACACCAGTGTCACTAAGTCTCCCTTCTCCCAAGGCCCTTCAGCCCGTCCCGAGCTTGTCCATCAGCGTCAACAACCATGTCGAACAATGGACACAGGTCAGTGTCATGTGGAGCGCTCCCCTGCTACTCCGGGGTCGGCGGATACCTTTGGTGTGGTCGACCCGGGTCAATGGGTGGTGTCTAGGTTCCTTTAAGAATCGAATCCAAAAAGATCAGAAAACTATCAGAAAGGCAGCGGCACTTGTTTGGTCACCAGCAGCTCAAAGTGACTCGCAAAGTCGTATGCCTCAAAACCATTCAAAACCGTGGTTCCTTCCGGGAAATCGAAACTAGTGGGTCATGTTTTGGCAGACTTGGGTTTGGAGGTTTGAACAGGTAAATCACATGCGACTGCGACTGGCAATGAACCATAATAATATCCTAATATCCTGAATGATTAGTGGATATTAGTGGCAACCATCAGGTTTGGTTGACCCTGTGAATTCCATTGAATTCCAACAACTTACGAGAAACCAACTGCACACACCACGTTTGAAGACCCAGCATTTGTTTGATGGGCCCTGCGGGGGTTTGATTCCTACACAATTACGTAATTAGTCAATGTGGGTTCCCAGCCTGTGAGAACCGACTAATGAAGTTATATGAAACGATGAAAGATTTGATAAAATTTGTGTTCCATCATCCTGGCCGAAACAAATATATATATACACATAGATACACAGACACATATATATAATTATATAAATAACATGTTTGAAACAATTAAAATACCAAATATATAACGTACAAAACTCCAAAACCCATGTCACAATTTCCTCCTTTCAGCTTTGCAAACCGTTCCAGTGTGACCATTCAACACAAAATGTCGGACCCTGAGCCAAGCCCCGAGACTTGTATGGCAGTTCCCAGGATTGCATTGGATGAAGGAGTTGCGATTGATGGTGAAAGGCCTGATGTCCACCGTTGTCCCCAGTGACCGTGGTCTTTAGTCCCCACACCCGTGGGGAAAACGTGGCCGGAAACTCCATATCCGAGCGGGGAGTATAGACGATTCAAGTAGGGAAGGTTGAGGGTTTCCCGAGTATATCATGTTATTTGCAATGTATTGCCTTGTTATGCCTACCAACGACATAAACGGAACAACCAATCTCAGTGAAAGCTGATTTCTTCTCAAAAGGATCCGGAGTGCGACAGGGAGAGAGCCTTAGATACTGATAGACATCGCGAAAGATCGACTGTTTTGTCTGCAACTGTAACTGTTTGATTTTGCTACTGACTAAGAAAACGATGAACACTGAATGCAGGTGGAAGCTGACTGAAGTAACTGGTCACTACTCTCCAACACTTCTTCTCTAGAGGGTTGTTTGATCCCTATAAGAGATCTCAACTATTTTCAATTTGTATGTTTTCCATGTTCTTCCAACTGGATTTGGGGTCCTTTGTGGACACAGCCTGTTGCCCAAACAAGTTGTGTACCAGACGTCGACCGTGCCCATCTCCGACCGAGACCAAGCCGGCCGCAGGTCTCGTGGGCGGCTTTCGCACCTTGGTGACGGCCATGATTTTGTTGCTGGCCGTGCTTTACGCGCCTTGGCCAGCCTGGCGTTGCTTCTTCGGCGAGGCGAGGGGGAGCGGAGGCAAGGAGCTATAGAGAGTTCCCATAGGCACTTGCGCTTGTCACCAAACATAGAAGCGCTGCTGACAGTTGGTGCTGACAGTTCGTCCAGGTTCCAGAGTTTGTTGTGTGTGTGTGTGTCTTTGACGATACTGCTTCACATAGAAAACTGGGAGCTCAAGGTTTCTGTGCAGAATCGTGTAGAACCACTGAAGGGGAAGCCTCCAGCTAAAGCCTTCAAATCTCGAGGCCATCGCTACTAGGCTGGAGGCCATCGCTCTTAGGTTGGAGGCCATCGCTACTAGAGTGGAGGCCCTTGCTATTAGTAACTCAAAAGTGAACTCTTTGGCTTGGCACCAAGGTCATCGCTGGTCTAGCTACGTACACCCTGGGCAGGGACCCACTGACCGAAGATGCTTGGAGTGAGCAAGATTCACGCGTGGCTTGACTTTGGGTAGTTGTTTCATAAAGGGCAAGCCCATTCAAGCCCAACCAAGTGTTGTTGCAACTGCTGTTGTTGCTGTTGCTGCGCTTTTGCTGTGCTGTGGCTTTTGAATGTTGATTGTTGCTGTTGTTTGCCGTCCTTCTCGTTTTTGTTTTCTTCCTATCTCATTGTCTCTCTATTCCGGTGGCTTTGATCTCAATTCATACCTGTTGAATCAACCCTCAGGGCTTTCTTATTTCGTATCATATTGTCATATGTGTTCATGTTGATTCTTCATCATTTATTAATTTCGCTGTTTGAACCCTTGACTTCGCTGTGGACATGCCGTCGTAGCAAGTGGGGAACAAGGTTTGCTTGTTGGGAATCCCAAACAGGTTCGCTCAACCACAAAATGCCTCGCTTAAGAAGAGACCGGCCAACCCAGGGTATATCATGCTGTCTATCCATTCGGTCTATGGGTGCTTGAGATTGCCCCCCATTGGTCTCATACACTCGGACCTGCCACACTCACCCTCACCCTCACCGACCAAGTCTGACGCCTCCCGTGCGTCGTGCCGGTGTCAGGAACTGGGCTACCGGCCGCTCTTCTACAACTTGCCAATGTGTGCATCTCAGTTCTTTTCCGCCGTGACGGTGATGCAATGTCTTCGTGAGAAATGGATTCTTAGACATGATTTATACAATAATATATCATAATTATAGTATATCATATCATGCTATATCATATTATATCCAAATTCCGCTCAATGGTATGCAATTTGGGGTGCGAGGAACACCTGAGAGGGTACACATTTTATTTTTGGATGATTTGGTTGAAAGGATCTAGTATGGACGTAGGTTTGCAAGCTTTTGTGATGCCAGAAATACCTTGTAACATGATGGAGCGTCAAAGTGACATGTTCATCAAGAACCCTTCAAACGGGTGAGCAAGAAACAAGAAGCTCCATGGCTCCCACATGGACCTCCCAGATCTCCAGTGATAAGTGACTGATTTGCGGGAGATGGCTAATTATTGCTCTTGAAATCTCTTGAAATCATCTGAAGACTCTTTTTAGGATTATGTCTTTTCGTTTTGGATTTTGCGCACAGGAAAAGCAGATGTAGCCCCGACTCAGTATGATGGTCATGCTGTTTTTCTCCGCTCGATTGCTGAGATCCATGTTCACGGCCTTCCGCTGCCTCTCTGGGAGCTGCGATGCAGATGATGGCCTCCCGGTGCGGAGGGGTGTACAATAAAGACTGGTTCAGGTGTTGAAGGCTTCCCAGTGCTCCTCGAAGTGTTCGAAGAGCAGAGTACCCCGTCGACACGACCTTGGACTGTGAAGAAAGATCTATCACGACCTTGGGCGGTTGGATTTCATCGGCACTCGACAAACACGGTTGGACTCGGCGGGGTCGTCGGAGCTCGGGCCTTTGCGGTCTTTGATGCTTGAAATTCACCACACGCGATGCATCAAAGAGAAAGAGCCAACCGTTGGACCATCCATATATGATCGAACGATATGGAATAGTTGTTTTTTTCATTGCGTATATATAGCTATAAATATATATATATTCATATAGTACCCCCCTTCCAATACCCACCCAGTGTGTGTTTTTACTGTAATGTACAGTGTTTTAGTGATATTTTGGGATCCTGCTTTAAGTGATATTTTGTGACATTTTTTCCAAATGGTTGTTTTGCACACTCTCCATATGGGGGGTACCATAGACATATAGTTATATATACATACAATGGGTACAGAAAGAAAGAAGAAAAGTAAGACTCCAGTACTTAGTGGATTGAGGATGGAGAAAAGATGAGAAAAGTGCACCATGGTACGCGTACCTTCTGGATTGAAGATTGAAGATTCTGCCCAATCTTCAATCCAGAAGGTACGCGTACGATGGGGTACTTTTCTCTTTGCTAATGATTGATTGGACTTCTTTTGTGTACTTTATTTTTTTCATTCTTTAGTAAACAATCTAATATTTGTTCTAAGTATTTATTGAAGTGAACAGTCATTGAAATATGTTCAAAGAACAATTCATTTATGAACATGAATGCAACAAGTATGGCAATATTACTGTCAAATATCCTGCACTCAAACTTGAAATACACCATAGCTCTAATAGTCAAATATTATTGGAATTATGTTTAATAAAAAAATCTTTGGAGAGAGCATGGTTCCATTAAAAATGATAAATAAATCCCAAAAGTCGAAGTCAAAAAACACGTTGTTTGCTAATGTTCACTTTTTTGACTGTTGTTCGACTGCCTTGTTTTTTCCGACTTTACTTTTTTTGACTTTGGTTTTGACTTTTTTGAGTAGTGGTCTTTATATTTAATGTGTTTTGACTTTTGTTGGACTGTTTTGTGTTTGATTTGTTGTCGTTATTTTCAATGTGACTTCTTTTTGACTTTGACTTTTTTATTTGACTGTTTTTTACTTTTTTTGACTTGTTTAATCAAGGATTCTGGCCTTACCATATGATATGAAAGATTTTTGCAAAATTATGTTTTATGTTTGATGCTAGCAAGAGACATTTAAAGTTAAAGGATTGTTGGCCATAGGTATTAGGTATATATGTGTCAAAGCAAGCAATGAATGGAAGGCAAAACTTATTACAATACCGGTTCTGCTTGTAATTGTTCTTTGAGCCGAGGGCACTATCAAGTGCATCTCAAATCGAAACATGACAGAACTCTGTGTACAATCTAGCTTTTAATGTTTCATGATATAGTTCTTGTGAGATTATATCATAAACCTTTCAATATGATTCTTTTGGTGATGAGTTGTGGGACTGCATATTCTTTATTTGATGAAAACGTTTGACATGCTTGACCGTGATAACGTGATATGAATAAAGAAACATACCACCGATCCTAAAACATGTTTCTTCAGGCCTTCAAGGTCAACAAGATTTAAGATTTTGGGTATTCGAGACCACATCCCCCTAATAGAGGTGCTGATCTGAATATGGATGATGGTTGACGGGATTCTGTGTGAACCATGAGAGTTTGAACCACGAGCACAAAGAGATCTTAGCATATTGGCCCAAGTTTGATGAGAGATCAGAGCCATGCCAATTGGGATGGAGGAGGAATGGGCAATATGGTGGGAGTGGGTGTCTAATTATACTGGATGGTCTAATTGGGATGATACATTAAAAAGGGCGAGGATTGCAGGATTAAAGAGGTGGAAGGCAATGGAGGCCAAAGGGGAGGCTTGATAAATAGAGGGAGGTGCCCCCACGATCAGAGGGGGGTAGGGCCTGTGTGAGGGGAGCCCTTTGTGAGCTTGAAAGCCTTAAGATTTTTATAGAATTTCATTAACAACAATTACTGATATTTGCTAGAGAGTTTTAGTGGTTGTGGAAAAATGTTGCTTGGGAGAACATTGGTCATCAGAATGGTTGGTAGCATGGGCCTTCAGGAGAAGCAGATTGAGGCAGCTGAGGGATGGTGGTGAGAATGATCCAGATGAGGTCATGAAGACACCAGCATCCCAAAAGATGGAAACACCAGCACCAGCTGGAATGATTTCATGCAGATGGCATGTGACAAGGGTTGGTCAGAAGATCAGCTTCACCACGGGTCAGTTTCACTATAGCAGGAAGATCTTGGATACTACTGTAATTAACTGAAAAGAAAGTCATTAAGCAACATAATACAATAGTTATCAATAGGCCATATTTATAAGTTTCGGGTGGCAAATGGGCTTGATTAATAGGGGAGGGCTTCTGCCAAGAACAAATTATTAAAGGGAAATAAAGGGAGGCCAATGTGGAATCTAGGCTTTAAGTTAGCTTAGTGTTGGGGGTTGAGATGGGTTTGATTCATTGCGGGAGGATCCTTAATCCTATGATAAGAATTTGCCAAAGGGAGCCGTTTGTCATTCTCAACGCAAAAGGTGGGTATTGGCACGGGGGATAGGAAAAAACTTATATATATATATAGCTATCCCACACACGGATGGGTTTGGTATATACCCCAAGTCAACTGTGTTTGCCAGACCCCCACACAAAACAAAGACGTGGGAAATCAGTTCTTTGAGAGTAGCTTGGAGGTACTGGAAACACTGCTGTTCCGGATTCCAGACTCTAATGGACATGTTGGAACATTGCAGGCAATATAGAGCCACCTCAACTTGAATGGAATAATGATTCCTCATGCCGTCACCATGGGGTGTGTTCCATCGACAGTACCAGTCTGTAAAGGGCTACTGACTATCACTACTCTGGGGGAAAGGTCTTTAATGGCCACCAAGCAACGTCATCCATTGTTTTTGGTAGTAGTTGGATATACGTTGAGATAACAGACCACGCAGCAATAGTTCTGTAGTTTCTGAGTTAGCGTGAGATAGCCCTTGCAACAACCAGGACGCCCAGGGCCGTCGGCCATATGTTCTACTTTGCCAGTGCCGTTGGCATGGTAGGTTTGTTGGTTCCATAACCTTGGAGCAGAATGTCTTGTCATCCTTTACTAGCAACGAAGATTGGAACCGTCCTAACCTAGGACCAATTTTGCACATCTGAAAAATGGCTCGTCGCCCCCATACGGCGTCTCCGAGGCGCTCCAATGAATTCGGTATTGGCGCAAAACTTTGGCCTCTCCTTTGTGGTGCCCTATGTGATTAGCTACATGTTGGTGACGATGGGCATCCTGGCACGATGGTTTTGAAGCAGCTTCGGGCAGAAGAAGTGGCAAGTGGTTTTTCGCATGGCCACCTGCAGGGAGGACTGCAGGGAGGTGGAAGACCATTCGACATGGTGACTCCAACCTTCTGTTCTGGCCAACCGGGCCGACCGGACTTTGGATGTCAGCATGTGCTGAAGAGTCACGCGGCGCTGAACATTGCTGACTTGTCAATGGTACAGCTGTAGCCTGTTCCTCCAGCTTGCAGAAAGTCAGTCTGACTAGTAATTTTTGGTATATCACAGGTTGCACACATCCGCTGATGCTTTTGATTTCTCGGGAGAGCTAGAGGGACATGATAGCACCAGGTTAATCAACTTATCATTGAAGTTCGATCACTCAACTTGCATATTGAACAAGCTCACTCTGTTAGCAGCGTGGCTCATCATCCCGATGGGTTTCCGGGTTCCGCAATGCTTGCATGCCATATTCAGCGGAAACAGCGGAATGGTCCTGGAATCGTTGGACTGGAACAAGTGGTGTTGGCACCACCTATCGATCAGTTCATGTCAAAGAAGTCCCGTTGGCCGCCCTTTGGCCGATCACGAACTCACGAAGCCTTGGTTCAACTCGGTGATCACCTTTGGGCTGAGGCATTTTCAATGTGATCTTGGCAGTGGGGGAGCCCAGAATTGTGGAGTTGGGGTAGGAGTTCGAATGGCGTTCCGCTGCAAGGCGTGGACTTGCCTTGCAGCCACTAGAAGATCAAAACGTGACCCGTGGGACTTCTTCCGTTGCACTCACCTGTGCGCATTCTGCGGTGTGTTTCGTTGGGCCGACGCCTTTCCGCCGCCAACGTCCAGGTCTATGTCGACATCACCATGCGCGCCGCCAAGGAGCGAAGAGATAACGAGTAACGAGAGGGATGTTTTCGACAGAGTCCAGGTTGAAGCCAGGCGAAGTATGTCAAAAGTTAGATGGTTCTAGAATTAGATCCCTGGCACTCCAGTGGGCATCAGATTTTTGTTCGGCAACTTTGGGCATATGTACATACATTAGCAGGATTGTGCTGAAGCAATCATCAGGTGTTTATAGCACGCGAGGAATCTAGAGCCGCTCTCCCATCCTTGATGGGTGTATGGTTTTGCTAGGTTTCACCCACTCCCTTTACAATTTTCATCGGCTCAGCAATAATACAATCAACTTTGTGACAACGACGATTCCAGGGACGGAACTAAGAGGCGTGAGAAGCAATACCAACGACGGCACAAGGCACACCATCCTTTCACATCCACCTTACATATGTCCTTATAACTTATGACATGCTGATCCTTTGACCTTACAACATGGCCTACCGAGGTCCCTCCCATCTCTTAAGAGCTAAAAAGGGGACCCTAGTGCAATTATAGGCCTGTGAGAAAGCATTCGATAAAGCATGGAGATGCATGGAGGGGATATAGAGAATTCAGAAATAGACGTCATAGAAAAACACGGTTAGGTCATTTTGTAAAGAAGACTAAACGATGTATGGGAACCTGGCCCTGGCAGAGTCATTCTAAATAAGAAATCAGGTTGTGATAAGATGTCCATGCATATAGTAGTGTGGATAGGGGATAGGGCATTTTGTAAAAATCACTCGGGTGGCGCTGAGTGGCCCGTAAATGAACCCGATTTTCTCTCTCATGGATGTTGATGGCTTGTGCATTTCATACATGTGTTTGGAACCTGCATTTACTAGTAGCCAGATTTTGCCTGGGCAGATCATTTTATAACAGGCATGCATCTTTACTAAATGCAACACCTGCAGCCATAAGTGAGTAGTATTGTGGATCCTTTCACCATGAGACGAACGGCATCCTCAAGTTTTGTTTCATTCGTTGAAAGGGATTGGACCTTCTCCCTGCCTTTCTTTCCACAAGACCCAAATAGCCCTAGAACAATCCTAGAAATATTCAACATGGAGTGTTTGGGTATTTCATGGAATGTCAAATGTTTTGTTGGCTTGGAAGGGTCTCCTGTTGTGTTGATGCCATATCAGTTGCCAGTTGCCATTATAAAAAGAACAGACTATACTGCTATACTTATTGTAATAATAATAGTAGTAATAATGACAACAATAACAATAAAAACAATCATATATATATATATTGTCGTTGTATTCCAGATGTCGCCACGGCCCAGACATGCCCAAAACTGCGATCCCAAGTGACCGAGTGCGGACCTTTTGGCCGTACAGGTCCAGACCTTTGGCCTCTCCGGACGATCCCCCACCGTCCGGTCTCCAGGAGAGCGAGGCCACGAGCGTCGAGCAACACGCGCGCGAATCGCTGCGCATCGCACGCACCGCGAGACGCTCGGAGAGGGCGGAGGACGACTGGTCCACGGCGCGGACCGTTTCTTTTTCGTCGTGGGGTCATGTTGTTTTGATTTTCGGGGCGGTATAGATGGACTGAGGAACGAAAGAACAAGCAGATAGGCAAGGGGCAGAACCTTGGTTGATCACGTAAGCACATTTTTGAGAACTCATGTTGACTAAGCAAAGTCGGAAATCATGTGCGCAGTTCTGAGAGGCTGACTTCTATACGTTAAACACAACCTGACTGTGCGACTGTGCGTAAGCTGTCGCTGCTAAGGCGGTGTAAGCTTCAAAGAGGTCCTTTGTGTCGCGTGAGCTGAAACCTGGGGCGAATAAGCGTAGCAACGTTGCGCAAGTGGATGTGCAACCAAATCTTTACAAATAAGTTTTGATGGCTGCTCAAGCAAGTTGGTGTCAAGAACAGCGGGACTCTCCCAAACGTTTCATCTTGCCTCCACCCGCTGGTCCTCAATTTGACACCGAACATAGGGGAACGAAAACTGACCCAATAGGTGTCTATAGGAACTTGAACCTATAGACACCTCTTGCCAGTCTCAATCTCCCATCAAATGCATCACCCTAAGAATCCGGGCAGTCGAAAGGAGAAGCTTTTCAGCCGGAGGGTCCGACCCTGGCTACGGAGTTCAGGCAGTCAATATATTGCTATGACCTGAAGTGATTGTTGGTCTACCATGGCATGGTGTACCCGGAGTCCATCGGGTCGCTTTCTCGAAAATCGCATCCTGAAGTTGTTCAGAAGAAGTCCCATCCCAGGTACGCATTCTGACTACAAACATGCCGTTTTTGTTGAGTGCCCTTGGTGAGCCTTAGTGTTTGTTCGCGTTTCTGCTTGTGTGTTTCTTCTTTCGATCTTACTCTAAGGAGAGCTCCTGAAGAAGTTCGCAGCAGCCGAGAAGGCCTTCCAGGCCAATCATGATCCCTTTCAGAGTTCAGTCCCTTGGACAGCACGGACGACATGTTCACTGGCACTTTCTTTCTTTGTCGTTCTTTCTTTCGTTTCTTCAGTCCTCAAGGTTCATGGTTTTGATCAATTGGGGCGATTTGTGAAATTGCTTTGTTAACACAACAGAAAGACCAAATCAAGAGGCCGACGGAGGTCTTAAATTTACGATTATATAGGTGTTGTGGGTAAATCCTCTTTGGTGTGTTGATTATTTCCCGGTTCCTCAAGCAAACCTGAGGCTTTGTTAGAGACACGTTTGCCCCAGAGTTTCCTGAGATGATCCTCGAACATTTGAACTGACGTTGTCTTTTATCGCAGTTCTGTGACGAAATCGATGCTACCCATCCCTGGACTGCAACATATATTAATAACTGTATGTATATATATATATTATATATGCCTACATTGACCCCCCTAAACCGCCCCAATGTACAAATATCGGCATATATCATATCTATATTATATAGCATATATCACATATATAGCATTTGGGTATGGATGTTCTTTTTTTTGAGAACACGCCTTCGGCCAGCTGGGTGTAGGCCCTTGACGTGACGTCAAGGTAGGCAGCTTGACGTACGTTTGAAAGATATGAATCCTCATGGGCTCAGTCATGGGCTCTTGATGGGCTCATGGGTCAGGTTCGCCTCCAAATGCCACAAGGCCTCAAAAGGACTGAGACTTGAGATGGAGAACTCAACTGAAGTGCACCCGTGGTGGTTTGCATGTTCGATCAGCTTGGTTGCACCCTGATGGCTTTCGAGACTGTTCCTTACTCCGGTTGGAATGGATCTGGACAGGTGACCCTGGACGACAGTCCTGCATGAATAATCTATACTATATATATATGTATATAACGCAAACATGTGAGAGATTCTTTGATATACTTGTTTATATATATATATATGTTGATAATAACATACATATAATAATATACATTCATATGTACAGAAACAAAATGCAATATTTTTTGTTGCTCCCTCGATGCTCCGCTCTCGGCATTCAAAGACCGGAATTCCGACCGCTCGAAGTCCGGCTCGCCTCATTGGTGCGACGAAAGTAGGGTGGTCAAACGGGTGGCATCTAACGGAATGGTCGAAACGATGTCCCTGGAGGTTTTGGTTCGGTGAAACGCGTCCAAGGCCTCGATGTTGGACCTGACCCCGGCCTCCTCACACTTCACAGATCAGGCGGACCGGGCGAGGTCCCATAGAGGGACTGGGTATAGGGCTCCAAAAGGTTTGGAAAGGTCTGAGATTAGGAGAATCGATCCAATACCTCCCAAGTTTGATTGAAATCTTCACACATTGATACAATCAAGCGAAGCTCGCCGTATGTCAAAAAGATTCAAAAAGCATGACATAAAAGCTGATAGATGTCATCCAAAAGCGGCTCAAAGGAAATACCCCCTATCATGTGATGGCCGTCTCTTGACCCGATTGGACCTCTCTCAATGGGGCCAAGTTTCGGATTGAGCATGTTGGGATCAGCCAATCCTCGTTGCACCATGTTGTAGCCAAAAGTAACAAGCCGGTGTAGAAAAAGATTCCTACTGCAGATACCCAGCACCTATCTGCTGAAGGTTCTTATACACCAGGTCGCAAGTGCCAGGTGCTTATGAACAAAGAACAAGGTTCTTCCGGCCTAGTGCTGGTGGCCATTGGTGGGCTGGGAAAGCTCCATGTGACCAACTGGCCATGTCGCACAGGTAATGCATGGAAGGCTGGAGATCTCCAAGGAGCCGAGCAATATTGGGTGAAGGATTTTTGACATTCATTTTGTAGAGGAACATGGCCTAGGTAGAAGGCAGTAGAGGGCCCGTGCTCCATGGAAATGACAAGGTTTTCCCGACTGCCAGGTGAGGGTCTTTAGATTTATGAAAGGTGCAACTCCGACCGCCGCATCCTCATCCGCATCCTCATTTCACAGTGTGGGCACGCACAGACCCGAACACTATACGGAGCGCCAGCTCAGTTTGGGCACACACGGACCCGAACAGCTTAGAATACATGGCGAAGAGATGCGAAGAGTACTTGGGTGAAGTTGCTCAAAGGGCGGCATGGGAAAAAGTTGTGAAATGACTCCGACTGACGAAGCCGATGCGAAGATGCTGGTGCATGCCGAATAAAGACTTGAACTGAAGACTGGAGATGGGACAGAGAATATCGACGTGCTTTGCTGGCAACTCCCCCTCTTGTATGGCATGCTGCGAGCCGCGTACTGCACGGTGTCCTACTCGACTTGCGAATCTAATGTTGCTGGGCTTCACAAAGAATCTCTTGTGCATGTGTCCACCTGACTGACAAGTTGGAAGCTAAAGCAATCCTGGCCTGTCTGTGATGCATCAACAGACTGCTGCCTAAGCCTACGGACTGTGGCCAAAACCGCCTTGTGTGGGGCGGTGTTGCGTCGTCGGCGTCCGGTTCTGCATGAAAGCCTGCGGTGAAGCAGGATAAGCGTTGCAGAAAAACGGCGATTCGACCTTGGATGTGCAGGATTCAAATCGAAACTCCTTAGTCCAAGCTCTGGTGAACTGATTTTTGGCCTGCGCTTGTGAGAACATGTGCGCGGACTTGGAATGCATCTTATCGCAGCAAGTTGTTACCAAACATGATATACATATTGGCTTTCACCAATCCACCAGCACAGAGACACACTGCAAAGGTTTGCTCGGCATGTTTGTGCCACGTATACAGAAACATTTTTTGTCAAGACATCGGCACTTTTGAGGTGGTCAGCCGACATGTTTGCGCATGTGGTCTTGGAACCTGCCAGTTGGCGTTCCCCGGCACGTTTTGTGCCTAATTCATTTTGAGTCTGCTGAGTCTGCCATGTCTGCACAGCACGCTAGCATATCTGGCAAAGAGGACATTTAGCTGTAGCTTTCCACTCTTGCCGACATGCATGTTTTTGTTTGGGCGTGTTGGTTAAAGCATGTTTAGACACCTCACACGTTCAATGGAGAAACTCAACTGCAAAAATGTCAGCGACCTTTTGTTGTAGATGAATAATGCAGGTCTGGACACAGTGCAGTTAATTGTTTGAAATGCCACGGTGGGGATCTCTCGACATAAGTATAACTGTCACTACAATGAAAGCCTTGAAGGATATCTTGAAGTATTCACTGGGAAGAGCACCGCGTTCGGATCCACACACTGTATAGGGTGGTTTTTCAAGCCGAACAGTTTCTGCCCTGGAGTCTCCAACTCGAGTTCCTGCAGTGGATCGTCCGCATTAATTCCCGGCACCCTCAGACTCACTGACATGGAAGTGGAAGTTTGGCTTTGAGAAAGACAGAGCAGTTTTCAATAGTGTTTAGCACCAATCCAGGGACAAACCATTGCGACAGTGGCGAGGAGCTGTTCCTGCTAGTGATTCAAGACCATGGCGTGCAGGAGCAGATGGGCTGATGGGTGATGCGGTTGACGAACTTGTTGATTGGAACATGATGGGTGATATAATCAGACAAAATCTGTGATTATAGTGGTGATTACAAGATCTCTGTCAGTTCTCGTTTCCTTTTTCTCGAACCCACCTTTGACACATGTTGGATCTCTGAGAAACACAGTTTGCGGATTTGTTTGTCAAACATGACATTGTCCTGGAACCCTTTGGCAGTAAATATTTTAGAAAAATGTTTACCAAAAAAACATTTGCGTTCGCACTTGTCACTCTTTGCATCCACTGATAGAAAAGAGACGATAAACATATGTACAACATCAATTTAAAGGGCGTACAAAATATAAAAATACAGTTGGTGTTTTTAAGAGTTCCCCCTTTTGTCCCTTTGTGGTTTGCCCTGTCTTTGTTCCCAAATCAGGCCGAGTCTTGAAAAGTGAGAGTCTACGTCGTATGTCCCCGCAGTATAATGGGTTTTGGCCTGGCAAAAACGATTCAGTGAATTGGCTTGCGAAAAAGATATGTTGCCCGAATTTACATTCATTGAACAACACTCTAACAACACAGAACTAAGATAGAGAAGATAACCCCCACTGGATTTGTATGTTTTAGGCATCTAAGGATGTTGCAATTGGATAGTGTTCTCGCATTTATATCTATATTTATATATAGAGAGAGAGGGAAATGTTTTTGTTTGCCCGTCCCTCAAGTGATCTCTTTCTACTGCTGCATGTGGCTGGGCATTTGAGATTTTATCTCTTGCCACCCATTCTATACCATGTTTCTGAAGAATGCTCCGCAAGTCAGTATAAATGCTATTCACCCCTGGGCCGTGTGCTGCTGGGTGAACCTTTGATGAAGATGTTCCGGAGTCGGAGAGGGACGACTTTTTGAGCGTTCTTGATACCTCTGTTCATCCCTTTCTCACATCTGAGATGTAACTTGATATAACCCTTCCTTTGTCATCACATCACCCACAAGAGAAAACCAAAGTCTCGGGCCATCCAAGCATCAATCATGTCGATTGCAGTGTCGATTGCATAATTGCCAATAGTTGCACAACCTGTTGCTTTGAACCATGTGTAGTATTTCAGGGCCAAGGCCTTAGACTGCCGCCCAAAAGACGTAAAGAACACTTTGACCACTTTCGGCATGTGCAGTCTACATCGGAAGGATCTATCTCCCAGGAGCTGATGGATGATCTCGACCTTCCGCCGGACCGGGCCAACCTCTTCGAGGCTTCGCCGTTCACGCCAGGCTGCGCGTTCTTTCGGCGGCATCCCTCCATGCCGTGCCCTGTGTGTTGCTCGAGGATCCCTGGATCCCTCTCGGTTCGAGCACAACGTCGCACGCTTTTACCTCTACCTGACCGCGCAGGTCATCGACGCCGATGGGAGTGGCACCCTTCGAGTGTCCGAACTCGTGCAAGGCGAGCAAAGAGATGTGAGCTACTCTGAGAGTGCAGGAGACAGTTATAGACTACTGTATATATAACCGGTCCACCTTCCGTATCTAAGAACCATCAGTTTGGCTTAGACGATGCTGGAGGTGACGTGAGGAAGAAGCATTTGACTTCTATAGTACTTTCCAGCTCGAGGATGCTCTCGCACTAGTGGCAGTAATGATGCCCGGTGATATGTGGCAGTAGTTGTGGCCCAGCTCTCAGGAATGGCATAAGACAACCCTTAACCTTGGACCCTCATAGACTCATAGGTTTGGGGTCTGAAGACACATATAGGTCTTGGAGCGTGAACGGAGCGCGGTTTGGGAAGTGTTTCACTGGGAATTGTTTCACCTGTAGTAACAATGAAGCTTTGGTTTTGATCCAGTTGGAACTTCATGAGAACTTAATGAGTTGATTCGGAATGGACCATCCGCAGGTTTTCTGGTCTCATAAGAATCCAGTTGGGTTGTTTGACCCACTGTGATGGATGCACATGGAACTTCCTCCTTCAGCTTTGGATGTAGAAACACGTACTCATGTTAGTGCGGAATTTACGGTCTATATAGTTGTACTGTACCCTGGACTAGTCCAAAGACTATGTTCACTTCCCTGAAGTAAAGGAAGTTCCTTTTCGGGTCAGACCATGTTTCAAAATAGTCTTGGACTCCAGAGGTATTTACAATATGTTGGCGTGCATTCACCTTAATTAATTAGTTCCAAAGCCGATTCTGCTTGGGGTCAGAATGACATTTGGTCCGGGACTTTGATTCCTTCCATCACTTTCCATCCATGCTACTCTGATCGTCACATTCTGATTGTGTGTCCTCCTGGCCATTCTGAAGAGCCTTTCTTCCGAGTATATATGTGCACCCACACCGCCCAAAGGGTGCTTCAAAAGACCACCAGACTACCCCTACCGTGTGTTCCCCATGAAACCATCCAAGCTGGGTTTTGCTGCGACAAACATGGACTCCTGTTTGTCGCAACGTCTCCACGAGAAGTGCGTTGTGCTCGTCCAAATGGTCCAGTCCGTTCCTCCCAGAGGCGCTCTTTGCGTTCCTCCGGTCGACTCCTTGGTGCCTAGCACTTCCAACGGGTGCCCAATGGAGACCTGTAAGTAGGGCAAGGTAGTCTATTGGACACCCATTGGATGACCCTGGTGTGTTTGTTGTTTTTGACCTGCTTGGACTGGTGATGCCCGCCACCGTTCTTACTGACAGGCCTGTTGAAGGTCCGCGGAGAGCTCAAGAAGAGCGACCTGGTCAAAGTGTACTCGGAAACAAACGGTGGCCGGTGGCATTCGACCGAGCAGCGGTCCTCGTTCGGGTTCTCCGGTCCGCGGAGCCTTCGAGGGATCCCGGCAGGGTATCGGCAGGGTCGTTGGCGACCAAGCAGATGGTTTTGCAAAGGCGAAGACAGATGGTCGGATGGTGGTCCATAAGCTTTTTTTTTGTGGACAGATGGTAGGACGGCGACGCTTACTAGAGATCGAGTTTCAGCTTAAATGCGTTGGCGCCATACATGGCGCAATGATTGGGCAGTTTTGAGAAAGACATGTTTTCGGATGTTTGTTCTTCACCCGGTGTGTTTTCTGAACTGGCACACGCAGGCCCTGAATCGATTGTCGAAACATGGTACTGTAGCTCTCGAAGCCTGTTCGCGAAAGTGCTGGGGTCTTGCAACAGGTTGTCCCTGTCAAGACCTCGGATTCAAGTGAGCTATATATAATAGTTTGAAATCCAGCACTCACCTGAGATTCCACATGCGCACTAAGGTATGAGATCATTTGTACAGACCCTTGACATACCGCAGGATCCTTGAGCCGGTCCAAAACAAGTTTGGTAGCGGAGCCAGGCCATCCGGGGAGAGTGGAGTCATTTGCCCTCTCTTGGTGGACCCTGGCTCCACTGCTTAGGTTACCTGCGCCGCCACAGCGCTGCTCACCACGACCGCGGGCCAAGGCTTCAGGTGGTTCGTGAAGACGAGCTTCCTTCAGCTCACCACTTTGCTTTTGGCCCGCTGGGTCGCTGCGCTCTCCGCTGGCCGGCCTTCCATAGGCCCAGCGGCTTGGTTCGGGGATCTTTACAACACCTCTGTCGCCGCAGAGTACCCGACCCTTGAATTCGAGGACACTCACTTGATCTTTGCCTCATTGATCCAGGTCACCAAGAAGGAGTTGTCCACCTTCATGGCTGCTGCGGGTTCAGCTCCAAGCAGTGGCATCCCACTGTCGGAGTACCGTCGTGACACTCCGCCAGGATGGGCTCCGAACTTGCCGGACTACCCCCTCAAGTTGTACCTGGAGAAGTTGAAATTGTGGTACCGGGTCTATGACGGACCCGACGAGGCTGTTGGCCCCCTCATCGCAGGCCGTTTGTCAGGACAGGCTCAAAAGCTGGCAATGAGAGCCTGAAGCTGCCGAGGCCAAATGGAAACTTCGACTATGGCGACGCTGCTCTTGATCGCCTTTCAGTGGATGAAGTCAGGGATCGGACAGATCCCAGCATCATCTTGCAGCACCACGTGCCCTCTGCTCATGCTCTTCGCGAAGCATTTGGACCAAGAGCTCACGACTTCGAGCCTGGATGCCTTCTTCGACCTCAAGAGAGGCCGCATGTCGCTGCAAGAGTACACAGCTGAATGGGTCAGCAACCGCTTCATCGAAGACGTGAAACTCCAGATCCACGGCGACATGTCGCGGTTTCAAGAAGCCCGCCGTTTGGCTTTGAGACTGAATGCACGACAAGGTGAACCAGCTGTGAACTCCACCGACCTGTACGGAGACGTTCATGAGGAGTTCTATGATGTTGACTCCTACCACGACCAGACGTTCTACCAGGGTTTGAATGGCTGGCCATACTCAGCTTGGGAAGATCAGTACTCCTACTATGACCAGCTGGACACCTGGTACGAAGAAGATAACCCTTGGTCTGGAGATTCGTTGCCTTCAGAGTCGGCATGACCTCAAGCTGAAGAATGGCAGTGGTGGTTGCTTCGTTTTTGGTTCTCGATGGCACATGGCTTCGGGCAAGTCAAAAGGCAAAGGCAAAAGCTTTGACAGCCATGGGAAATCTTCTCGTCCATGGCATCCCAAAGGAAAAGACAAGGGCTATGGCAAGTCCTATGGCAAGTACAACAAGGGCAAGAGTTTCGGCAAAGGCAAAGGCTTTGGCAAGAATCGAAAAGGCTTTGGCAAAGGCAAATATAAGCAAGGCCTCTTCTCGGATGTCGCCTATGACTATCCCAACACCTGGCTCAGACGGTCACAGGAGGAGAAGAAGAGTCTTCGACGGCTACAGCACCTACATCCAATACACCGTCCTCAGATCCAGCCAAACGTGCGCTCAACTTTACCACTTCTTGCACACCAACCAAAGCTGCTTTCATTCAGTGAAAGGTCAACAACGATTGAGCCAGGAGCAGCAGCTGGCTTGATTGGCAGTGAGACCTTACGTGACCTCCTGGACACCTGCTATAAGGACAAGGCAGATCATGTCTCTTGGAGCAAGTCGGAAGCCACCATCACTGGCATCAGTGGTTGCCCTGACAAAGCTTTGAGCAAGGTTCACCTCCGTTTACCTTTTCCTCATCTTGAAGCAAGCTACACAGCAGATGTGATCGGAGGTGACGGCTCCAGATGCCCAGCTTTGGTCGGCAACCCAGCTTTGTGTGCAACGCATGCCTCTTTGCATTCATACTGGTTTGACAACCGTGATGGACTCCTCACTACATGGGACACTTCATCCAAGAAGCCTTCGCTCCACATGTTCCGCGTCCTTCTGACTGATTCCAACCACTACCTTCTTCCACTTGATGAAGACACTAGCTGCACAGAAGCTATCAAGGATGTATGCCACTTCATGGACAACATCTCTCAGGCCTCACGCCAACGATGGCCAGATCATTCCTATGTCTTCTGGCAGCACATCATCAGCACAGCCGACCCGGAACTGAAGCGGAGTTCTGATGTGTCAGCGAGAGAGACACAAAATCCAAGAAGGTGCACTTCGACGTTCCGGAGACACCAGTGACTGAAGACAAGACAACAGGTGATGCCGCCTGTGCATCTCTGGCACTGCCCTTGTGTATGTCAGAGCAGCCTCTTGATCAGAGGACTGCTAACTGTGGGACCAGAGATGCCGAGGCCTTGGCACACCTAGAGGACACCTCATGTAGCACATCGGAGGAGTCCAAGCACCAAAGCAAGACATCATCTAGCACATCGGAGGAGAACCAGGTCCACAGCCAGGACAGCACTCTTGCTGTCACTCCGTCTGTCGATGTGTGGCAGACAAATTTGAGCTCTCTTCCACTCTACACTGGAGACACTCTTCCTGAGCACTTGCCTTCCTCCAAACAAACAAAATCGCGCAAGGACTATCGAGCTATGCCCCCAACCGAAGAGTGGGCGCAAGGACTATCGAGCTATGCCCCCAACCGAAGAGTGGTGACTCCGGACACATTCCCACAATGGATGAAGGAAGCCAAGAAGGCAAAGTCTCGTTGGCATGTTTGGGAATGGTGTTCTGGCTCTGGTCGTCTGTCATTGATGATGACATTGACAGGACTGCTTGTGGGTTTTCCAGTGGACTTCCGTTATGGCTGGGACATTGGCCATCCAGAACACCAAGCTATGCTCAACGAGGCCTATGACTTCTTTCAGCCAGAGATCCTTATTTGTTCTCCCAAGTGCGGACCTTGGTCAGTCGCCTCCTCACATCGGAAGCCCCCTGATCGACAGTCTGACAGAGATGAAGAACGTCCTGCACTCGTCTACATGCAATTCAAGAGAGCTCAACAGGTCCATCGCCACAGGGCCTTTTTGATGGAACAACCATGGTCTTCGTGCATGTGGACTGACAATGTGATGATCAAGAATCAGGAACTTTCCCAATGGAGAAGGAAAAGAACTGATCAGTGCTCTTTTGGTGCATGTGATGAGTTGCGACACCCTGTGCTCAAAGAAACTGCACTAGAAGGGAACCTCAAGCTCAAGATGTCCCTTCGTCGATGCAATGGCCGCAACGGAGCACCTCATGCACCACTTCAAGGTCAGCACAATGGTGTTCACCGCACAGCTATGGCAGCCGTGTATCCTGTTCGTTTCTGCAAGGCCATTATCCAGGACTTCCTCATGTACTTGCAACCACAAGGTCTTTGTCGCTCACGCCAGTATGACCACTGGCACAATCACCAGATCCTGTACAAGTGTGAACGTTGCACCTTTGGACGAGCGGCCACAGCAGACATGGAGCACTCCTTCATTCCAGGAGAATGCAGGTATGGCCGAATTCGCAAAGGCAAAGACGAACCGACTTTGGCATCTTCACCAGTGGCAGACTTTAGACGTGACGCCAGAAGCCATGCTAAGGTTGCTGAGATCACTCTGACGACTCCACCAACTATCAGCTTCAATGCAGAAGAGACTGTGTACTTGAAGTACCTGCTCAGTCGCCTCCTGGAGGACAGCATGAAGATCTTCGAAGAAGTGAAGGACAGCGACCACCACTACTGGGTGAGCGATCCGATACTGATGGCTATCCTTCGCTCCTGTCTCCAGACGGTGATGTATGTGCGAGGATGCAAGATTTCTCTGCACCCCTTCACCATGGCTCACCCTGAGCCGAAGCTGAGCGCTGCTCAAGCTCCATTGCGACTGGTGTGCAGAGGCGATTTCCACAACTGGACTATGTCACCATTAGAAGACCTTCGAGAAATCTCACCTGCGCAAGCCATTGAAGCAATTGAGGAAGAGAACTGGATGATCACATTCTTTGGTTCCCAAGAAGGTCATCAGAAGCCTCCAGCGACACCAGTTCCAAGCACACCGTCAGCTACAGCCTCTTCGGCAAGACCAGTACCAATGACACCGGCACCACAGACACCGGCACCAATGACACCAGTGCCGCAGACGCCAGCACCAGGTATGCCAAATCCCTCGACTCCAGCACCACTGCTTGATGAGCCTTCTACATCATCTTCTACAACCCCAGGACCGACTGATGGAGGAGATCAGTTGGTACCTTATGAGGGCATTGACACTGAGGTTGCTCAGCTGATGACCATCAAGCCTCTCTATAGTGTGAAGCGTGTCCTTCAACGACTACCTGAGGCAATCAAGAAAGAACCTGCTACAGCTCGTCGTCTGCTGCTTGGCCTACACGAGAAACTTTGGCATGCTCCAGCTGCAGACTTCGCCAACCTACTTTTACGAGCAGGAATGCCAGCAGAAGTTGTGGAGGCTGCTTCATCT